GCAAATTGTTACACTGAAAAGTAAGAGATCATAAATCTCTGGTACTTCTTCGTGTGATGCCACGTGATGGTAACGTATTGAAAGATATGCCCTTTGGTATCTTAGATTAGTTACCGGATAGCTAGGTGCTTATTGCACAATGTGTGATGCCTTTCACGGCTAGGTAATCTTACAGAGATTCAGTTGCCTTGCCGGATCCTGTGATGATTGCGTAGATATTGCGCTTCTTATAGCCGTGTTCGTTCTTGTAATGCAATCAGCACTCTTGACTGCTTTAAATTATTGAACACTTGAGGGTTGAAATTAAATATAATGGCTTGAGTGTATTGGCCTAACTAGCTTATAGCTGTGGTCTGAGTGAATTATGTAAGTACAATGAGTGTCACTGAATGACTGGTGTATCGCGGAAAACACTGTCTGAATAGCGTAATGATTACTGACTGAGTAATTGACAATGAGCGTCTAGGCGTAGTGTGCTGCCCTTAAATATCCGCGCGGCAGCTTACTTAGCTGGCAAAAAAGCATCGTTGTTGCTATACTAGAATCTTACATGAGGCGCAGAAAGAAGACTGTAGAAGTTTCGAGAATTCTAAGAAAAAACAAGCTTAAGAAATTTGGAGAATTCCAAGCGACGTAACTCCCCGAAGACCATATAAATTTGTAAGCCATTTGAAACCAAAACAGAAGTAAACGAAAATTCTCATACCCAAGTGTTTCCAGAAACTTGAGAGCTAGAGAGAATATATAAATTCTATGATTTTTTAAGTTTTACTTAAAAATTTGAAAGAATAGCAAGTATAATTTTATGAATTCCTAAAAAACTTGAGTCGACTTAAAAAGTATTTAACGATTTAATCAATTTATTACAATTAAGAATCACTATTTATTATTTCATCTACAAAATTTACATTACTTGTCTATCTCTATGATTAATTAATTTGCACTCCAAAAAATTTATTTTAATGAAATAAATTAAGTAAACTATGTTTTTAATTTTATCAATACAAGAAAATACATATATAGTTAAAATAATTATGAAATACTGTATAACATAATTATTTTTATATTACTATCATTTAATTAATTACAAATATCTTCAAATAAATTTAGAACTCATATGTATTTAATGACATATGCAGTACAACAGTTCTATAAAGTTAATTTTTATAAGAATGGTACTTTAAAATATGTTGATAAACTTTAAAAATATCCATTATTTTCAATAACATTTTTCGAACTAATAATGAAAACTGAATAAATAAATTACAGTAAATATTTATAATTAATGTGTCCATGAAAATTTTACCAAAAACAGTAATAAATATCAAGTAACAAATATCAAGTAATATTACTTAAAATAATTAAACTAATGATTGAATTTATAATAGGTTTTATTTTTGCTTCAGTTTTTATATAATACTTATGTATGTTTATATTCATAGTATAAAGTTATGTAAATAATTGAAATTATATTTGATTAAATTATATATTTTAATAATACTTAGAGATATTCGAATTTTTTTCAAATATTTTATATTTAAAAAAAAAATAAAAATTTTTATGAACCTTGGTAACATAATTAAAATCTGTATTAGTTTATGTAGTAACATTTATAATATAAATAATTCATTATAATCATAGAATACTTACTTTTTTAAATTTTATCCAAAAGTATTAAAATTAAAATTTATTTCAATTTTTTTATTGGCTTATAAATGTATAACTATTTTCCACTAATATGTTTAATGTTAGTATTTAGGCAATAGAAAGCATTAAGTTAACGCCTTCAATATTTTTCTATATAAGTAAAGAGATTTGCAAATAATTATAAAAAATAAGTATTTTTTAATTATTATTATTTGTGTAATCAAGCCGATGAGTTAAACATTTGTAAGGAAATTGGTTGCGCCACCTATGTGATATAGTAATAAGTAAACTTGTGTTTGATATTTGGTCGCCATTATCACTTCTGTACTTACATCTGTGTTACATTCTATGGATAGAATATAAAACAAAACGAAAACAGATGAATGAGAGAGAAAGAATATTTTTCTGCTCCCACCACCTTATTTTCAGGAAGAACTTAATACAAAGGCTAGAGATTTAACAAGGGTTACTTGATCGAGAAGAAAAAACTGTCGCAGTAACAGTTTAATATTCAGTCATTTTTAAATATTTCTTTTACATTTTGTTTTCGGAAAGAGTTTACATTAAAGCTACCAAGATTTTACGAAAAATAAAGCATGAATATTAATTTTAATATAATTTTAAGTAATTGTGCAACTAATAAAAAAACTGAAATGATGTCAAGTTTAATTTCAAGTAATTGGTAAGTATCTTTTGTTAATATAATATGTGTTTATTGGGTGCACCATTTTCTTTACATTTGTATACTTCCATCTCATTACTATATATTCCTCATTCTCAGTTCTAAGATTAAACGTACACGTATGCGTTTTCCTCTTTCTTTACCTAGTCGCCATCTTTGTAATTTGTATTAAGTTTCTTGAAAAGGCTAAGAATACTTACGTACGTTTTATGATTTTTTGGAGTTACCTGTAATAAAAAAAATATATCATTTTTTAAATAATTTTTTTGTAATTTTAATCATTTTTGTTTTTTAAGACTAAGTTATTAAATTTTTGTTAAAATTGATATATACATTTTTTCTAGAACTTTCGAGGGTTCTGCAATTACATCATATAATTGATTTAGTGATTATACACATTACTTTTCTTCTCTAATTTATGAGATAACCTGCATTACAAACAAAATTAAAAATATGTTATTTTAATATTGGGGTAATGCTGAAAGAAAATCAAATATTACAAAGATGTATTAAATTTTTATTTGTTAACTTCCTAGTTTTGACTTGCGATATATAAGAAAATTAAGTTAGATATAAAATATAATTATTTATTAGACTTTGCTTCGAGTATTTCGGTTTTTACAATGCATTATACTTTATAACAAGAATAAAAATTCTAAATGCTTTATTGAATTTATTTTCAATTTTTCATAAACAGTTGTAAAATTTTAATATTGTTTTCTATATTATAATACAATAGTAAATATTTAATGAGGAAATCATGTTTTACAGTAGAACTAATTTCTTCTACTATTTAAAATAAATTCTAACTTATATCTAAATATTTTTCAAAAAGTAAGAATTAATATACATTAAATTAATGATTAATTTTATATTATTGTTTATAACCTTAAATTTTATTTACAATTTGCAGTTTATTTTTTAATAATTTATTTATCTATAATATATACAAATTTTTTAAAATTTGACAAATCAATATAGAACATATCAATTTCATGTTATTTTTAGAATTATATTACAATGGTTACATGATTATTTAGTAATTTTATTTAATTATATTTGAGTTTGTTTATACTTTAATAAAAATAATAGAATAAAATAATTTTTAAATTCTTATATAGAGTTTTGTAATATAGTTTATATATTTAAATTTGTTTATATTATTTTGTTAAATATTTAATGAATATTATTAAAATTTGCAAAGATAAATAGGTGAAAATTGGTCATTTTTTATTTTAAAATATAATTATTTGTTATTATCATCTATAAATATAATCTTTGTACAGTTAAGTAATTTATAATTATTTATTATTAATATTAACCAAATATAGATTAACCTGTATTATTTATTACTTATGTAAATTAGTATTATATATTTTAAAAATATTGTAATTATTTTTAAAATTCTATTGTTCAATCATTTAATAACATTAAATTAATGTATAGAATTAAAAATTTCCTTGTATTTACTTAAATTGGTTTATCGTTATAAAACAAATTAGTATCAGTTCATCTAATTTTAATTTTATAAATTAAAACATTTGTAGAATTATAAAGGGTTTTACTTTAATTTAATTATCAAATAAATATTTGAATAAATACCTTATCGTTCTTATTTTATTCAGAAAATTAACCCATTAGTTCACATGATATTAATGTTTAAATAATCATTTAGTATAGCTTTTAAAATTTTAAAATAGTAATTGAAAAAAATTTTTAAATGTATTAGTTCAAATATTGTTTGAATGTGTTTACTCAATATATAATTTAACTAAACGCAAAAAGTGTAAGCTTACTCAAATAACTTTTGTATCTTTATAAGTAAAAATTATATATTCTATTAATAGTGTCATAAATATTTATTGTTAAATCAATCACCGTTAAAAATTTTGATTTCTTATATAATTTTGCTGTTAAATCCTTTGGTTTTTTAAAATTATAATACTTATTGCATTAAAAATATTAATTTAATATTTTAAATTAATTGCTATTATATATTAGTTTATTTTTCTTAATTAATGATACAAAGTTATTATTCATATACAATATAAACTATTTCATTAATGTAATCTATTTTTAATGATATTGTATTCATCAAAATGACAATTTATAAAATTATAAAATAAAAATAATCATATATTTGATTTTATTTAAAAAATATATAAATATAAACATGTATAAAGGTATAGATTAATAAGTAAACATTTATAATATTAAATGAATAAAAAATAGTAACTGAATTATAAAAAGTTCAAATTTATAAGATTAAATTAATTCAAAATCGTAATTAAATTTCTTATGAGTAAATATATATTATAAGTTAAGTAAATTGTAGCTAGATTTGAAGAATTACCCTTACAAAGGATAAATAGATTTAATTTTTTTTTTTTATTGTAATTAATTTCCGATTCTTCAGAATATTAAATAATAATATTTGATATAATTGAACTATGTAGTATCATGTAAGATAATAAAGTTGATAAAATTTTGATATGTCTACCTACATTTTTTTTGCAGTGTATATATATTTTATTAATAATTTGTTATAAATAGGATTTTTTCAATAATTGTAATAAACTTAATATCTTCAATTTTTTTAGTGAAATGTCTAGCAAGTGTTTTGATGAAACCTTGGAAGAAGGGTCTAGAGCACTTCAACACTATTGTATAACGCTGGGTGTGGGGCCTCTGTGGTGGTCCTGATGTGCCCCATGCCGCATTGTCTGTATCTACAGTCAACACAGAGAGCCGCGGCGTGGGGATCAAGCAGAATCAGCTCTCTGTGAGCTCTCACATTGTACAAGTATGTATATACTGCAAATAAAATTAACAAGTACCAATACAAAATATATAAAAGTAGTAATTTTATTTTTAATAATTATTAAAATTTACTTATAACGAAGTATTTATATTAAATTATTTTACATTAGAATAGGTTACAGAAAATATTCCTTACAATGATTTTAGAATATTAATATATTTTTTAATAATTAATATTGTTATCTTTAAACAATATTTTTAAGTATGTTTTTTATGGTCAAACGATATTTCATATGAATTAAATAATTTAATTATTATATTAAGTATTAGATAGAATAGACAAATACAAACTATGATGATATAAAAATATACTTTAAATAATTGCATAATACTATAACAAACTACTGTTTATACAGCTTTCGATATCAAATATATCATATTTTAATCAAATTAACTATAATTGCTAGCATGATTTTAAAATTTTACATATTTAATTATTATTATATCAATATTAAATGTAATTAATAGTAATTATAACAATTAGAAAATAGCTATGTTGAATTAAATTTCTTACGTAAAATAATTCTATATGAAATTAAATATTATTTTTATAGGAGGATGAATTACTTAAGGCATTGAAAACTAATGAGTCGCTGCGTTTGACTTTTAACCTACAACTAACTGAAAGTACATTGGTTGAATGGGAAACTATTGTATGGCTGGGATGCCTATATATACGGGTACCCAGTTGTCTTCTACCTGAAGGGTCAAAGGAGGGATTTGTTTCTTTACTTGAGTATGCTGAAGAAACATTACATTGTACTAACATCGTTGTTTGCCTACATAAAGACCGTTCTGATCGAGGTATTCACAGCTTTATCAATTCCATGTTTCATATTATTCACATAGTACACAATAAAGATTGAAATATAACATCTAATTCTGATATATCTTAAAATTTAGCAATGCTGGTTCGAACATTCATGTTTCTGGGTTTTTCGGTCTTACCACCTAATCATCCATTGGTTCCACCAGGCAGTGACACCAGCAATCTCTACATGCTCTATGCCATTGAGTAATTGATAGAGTAGCGTTAGGATCTGTAATTTAACGCATAGGTAGATAAAAATGTGTTTTTGGATCTATCATTTAATTATATATTTAAGTACATGTATATTTATTATACTAAAAAAAGCTATTTAATGTTAAATCGATTAAAATGAGGTTTCAATATGTAAATTTCAATGCATAAAATCATATGTTAGAAATTCTTCACCATTTATTTTATATTACAGGTTCCATTTATGTCATCTAATACAGTTAAAATATGAGATTAATTCATATATATTCCATAGTAAAATGGACAATTGTAAATTAGATTGTTTAAAATAAATTGTTGTTTAAAGTTTAATTTTACCGCACCATATTTAATGGCTCATTTTTTAAATATGGAAGTTGCCAAGTACTAAATCATGTTTTAAAAAATTGCTGTTTTTAAAATATTTACTATATATATAATTTCTTTTTCATCCAAATGAGGTAAAATAATAAAAATAAATTCAAATGTAATGTGTAAAATATGAAATGAAATTAATATCAATGACAACCAAAGCGTTAAATTTTAGGATAAAAAATGAAATTTAAAAACGGTTAGTTGCTTGAAATTTAGATTGTGTACAATCATTTATTCAAAATATTAATTCATTTTCTTGAATACAATATTAAGATTTATCTAATAAGGTATAAAGCGCTTACAAAAGCTTATCTCATATATTTCAAAAAAGATCACTGATTATCTTTATTATTCAATAGTAACAAGATATAATAAGAAACTGAGTCACTGAGTAAATTTATTATCGATAAATCTCTGTGTTAATTGCGTGGAAAATTAGGCACAACCTTAATATAATTGATTTTATTGATAAAATATAAAATGTAATTGTTTCATATGCGTTAATATTATAATTATATATAGCATTTGGAGTTTCATTATTGAAATAGTTATTGAAATATTATATGATGATAGTATTTATATTTACTTTATATAATCTTGAAGTCTTGAAGAAACTTTTAGGTTTATTACTATTTTCTACATGTGAGTGTACAATCTGTTTTTTGACCAAGTATGGTGGCTATACTGTACTTAAACTGGTTACTGATGTCGATATTTATTTTACTTGGTGTTATTATATTTTTTATTTTACATCGCATTGCTTAAATTTTCAATTCAAAATATTTTTTACGTTCAGTGATCGGTTGGAAAAATATATTACGTATTATTTTATTAATTTTTTAAGATATACAAAGAGCGTCACTTAATAGAATTTCGAATTTAATAATTTACAATTGTAATACAAACTTTAAATTTTCAAACTTTTATTTCACTGTTCAAATGAAAGTATATATATTTATATCTTGCTCACACTATTTTACACCTTGATGTAGTAGTTGTCAATATTATAATTCTTATATATTATTATATAATTTTATATTTTAGAATGACTTTCTAAATAAGTTCATTTACTATATAATATAAAAAAATATCTATTGGTAATATCCAATCAAATAACAAGAGAGGAATTTTTGTTAATAAAATTAATAAAGCTTTTAGTATGGACAAGATTAAGCTAAAATAAAAAATTTTTAAATAAAAAAATTTACAAAAATCAAAATATAAAAAAAATAAAACATTAGTTGGTTAGGTGTATAAGCGATTTATGAGAATTGGTATATTTATTATTTTGTACAACTGGACTTTCAATAAATGAAATGCAAAAAAATTTATTATACAATTGTTAGTAGCAAGAAAATGTATTTCAAGAGACATATTTGTTTAAATCATGTGTCTAATCATTATAAGGAATTACTATAGTAAAAATGACACGTACATTGAAAATAAAATGAAAGTATTTCCATGTGCTAATTTTATTGATGTATAAAAATCTTATTAAATAAAGATTTCATAAAAAAACATCGTTTCTATTTAAGATACATCTCATACGATTTAATTGAAAATAAAAAATGAATTACACATACTATAAACTATATGGTAGTTATAAGTTTTATGATTTATATAAATCGAAATTTAGTGTATTGTAAGTTCAATTAATTGTGTGTTATTCAATAAACAAAAATTTATCAAGAATTTACGTTTTAGTTTGTAAAATAAATAATTAATTAAATTTATTATATAACCCCTTATATACTATTTATATATGAAATAGTAATATGCTAAACAAATAATTTAATATGCATTGAATACTAAGATTATATAATATTGAATTTCATCATTTTTTTATCCTAAATAATTATTTTTGATATATGAATTCTTAGTTTTAGTAACAAAATTTTATTTTATTTTAAAGGCTGCTATAAATATATAATTTAAAAAACATTTAGTTTAATTTTTTTCAATCAATTTAAAAATGTTAGTAAATATTAAAAATTAATTAGAATAAAAATTTATAAGAAAATGAACAAATTGTTAAAAATATGGAATAATGTAATATACTATTTAATAACAAAACCAGAGTTCAAAATTAAATATTTATATATTTTCAAATATGTTTGATAACAGAATAAAAAAACCAGTCAATTATGTAAATATTTATAAATTAGATTAAGAATGAATAAAACAAATTTTAAAAGTAAAGAACAAAAATTATATGAAAGATTTTTCTGCTGTAATTCTATATAATATTGATCATTGGAACTGATGATATTTATTTACTTTTGTTATAGATACATGAAAGAATTCATGCATGAATTGAGAGATCAAATAAAGAAACAAATATATTTTTTTGTATATGCAGGTATAATAATATATGTATTAAGTGCAGAATAATTGTATTTTTATTTATTTTACTTGCCATTGTTGCGACAGTTTCATTAATTTTGTTACATTTGTTACCATTACTTTGTTTTTACTTTATATATTCGTTGGCAATCACCTTCGTCAAAAAATAACTTGTTTCCTAAAAAGAGTATTATTTTTGTAATCATTTTTTTTATTAAAAAAGTAAAATGTAATTTTGCATAAAAACATGCAATTTTATTTCTAATAAATTTATTGTAATCTAAGAAAACCTTAAAAAGTTTATTAAATGAATAGTTTCTTTATTTTAAAGTTATTACCTATTAAATATTCACTTTTATAAGATAAAATGTGAAAAAAATATGTAATTTAATTTTTTAAACATATTTCAATTTATTAGATGTACCCACATTTGGTTAAAATTTATTAGACAAATGATCCATAAAAAAAAATAGAAACGTATAAATATATGTAATAAGTAAGGATGCAACAGCTACTTTATTATTTATATTTACGTAGAAATATACAAATAAAAACATTACAGTAAATAAAATTATTCTAAATAATTATTAAAAAGAAAGTAAATTTCAAATTTGATATATTTGTCAATATTTATTTACATATAAAATTAATTTTTGTAATAGAAATTAATTAATAATTATCAATTACGAACATGAATTATAAGATTTGTACAATATTGTATATATATTGTATAATATATTGTACAATACAATATTGTACAATAAATTTGTACAAATTTATACAATTTGTAAGATTAAAAATTATTAAAAATTTTTAATTTTATATATAAGTAAATTTAAAGGAATGCATATTTATTATAGATTCGTTAGTTTCATCACAAATTCACAAACTGATACAAACTAACAAAAATACTAACAATAAAATTACTCAAGTAATTTTTCATTTTCATAAATATTAGTAAAATAATCATTTCATTTAATACTCAATAATATTTTTTGAATAGTTCCACATTTAAAAATAATAAATTAATTTTTCTATTTAAATAATTAAATAATTTTAAATATTTGTAGTTTGAAATACTTGTATAAATATTAATTAAAATTGAGTAATTATATTTGTAATATCTTAATTTACATCTATTTATCCACCTTAGAATTCATAATTTTTAAAGATTTAGTTCCATTCAATAGATATACTTTTTCTACTTTTTTGTCCATTTTTTCTGTCCATATTATTCATTGTGCAAACTTAATATATTTATATTGATTAAATTAAAAATTATTATAATGGGCTCGATTAATCTATGTACTAATTAATAAGTGTTTTGTATTTATTAAGTATTTTATTAATATTATTTATAAATGATAGCTTTTTAATACTATTTTAAGTTAAAAATTGAAATTAAATGCATCTTTTGAATATTAATTTTATATTATTATAAAATATCTTTATAATTCTAATCTTAATATACTAATATATAAATTTTAGTTGAAAACATTGTGTACTTGTTAGGCTATAATTTCTGGGATTAATTTATAAACAAATTTGTTTAATAATTATACAGTAATAAAAAGTAATATTCATTTTATTAATTTAAAATAAATATTTTGATTTAATTGAATGCTTGAGTAAATTGCAAAATTTAATACACATATTTATAAGGATTGAATTGAAAATTGAAACCAATCGGTTTACATAACAAAAGTGAGCTCAAAAAAAAAGCAAATTTTTATGATAATGTAAATTAAACTATACTAACAATTTAGATTTAAAATAATACTATAAACAGAAAGTTAAATAATTTTTATTATTAAAAATTACTTATACTTAAAATTTGTATATGTAATTGATTTTTCCGACAGTAGATATTATTTGCACAAAATTTTTTTTCTTGTGTTGATTTAAATAAACTTTAGTTGGATAGACTTGAATAGGCTGCACGAAAATTAAAAAGCACATAAAATTACAGAGATAAAATTAATAAATAAAATTTCTTATGTTATTTATTAAAATCAATTATGTCAATATAATTAGAAATTTTTAATATTCTAATATATAAAATTGAATTTAAACAGTATATGGTAATACTTCATACATTTTTTAAAATACATTTTAATATTGTACATAAAAAGTGATGACAACAATTTAATATTAATATATACAAAACTTAATATTATTTGTTTATCATTAAGTAATTTTTTTAATAAAAATTAATTTGATATATAATGTATAACACACAATACATACATGTCTATAATAATTATGAAATATTAACATTTTATTCCAATAAATTTTAATTACTATTTTCAGAAATTTAATTTAAATATAGTATAAGATGAAATTATATATACATTTAAAATAATTTACCATAATATATATATTTTTTGTTATTTACTTCCATATTATTTAGTTCATCTGCTTTTTCTTCTACATTTGTGTTACAGTTTTCTGAAAATAAAAGTAAGATGAAAATTTTAATAACATATGTTTTAGAATTATACTTTATAAATAAATGTAATGGGTATAAAATTTAGAAAATTTTTTAAAATATTGAAAGTTAGAATTCTTTATTTCCATAATTTTGAAAATGGAAAATTTTATATATTATTCTTTAGATTGCATTTCAATAATAATTATACTTGCATGTGCTGTTTTAAAAAACGTTCTTTATTACAATAATTATATTACAATATATTTTAAGATAATAATTTTTGAAAACACAACTAATTTCGAAAATGCAAAAATAATTATTCTTTATTTTGATAAAATTTTGCATATTCTTTAAAAATACTGCTTATGATAAATTGTAAAATGTTAAAACCCTTTTGAGTTTTTAAAATTTGTGTATGTACTATTTTCTTATATTGATTATCATATTTTAATGATCCACTAAATGTACTTTCTATATATCGATTTAATTTCATTTATTAAATTCTGAAATATTTGAAAAATTGTCTATAAATGTATATAATTTTATACTGTATAATTTTACTAAAAATATATCTTGTTAAATATTAAAATACCTGACTATATGAATATATCAAATATATGATTTTTATTGTGCATTGTAAATATTAATACTATATTATTTGTTCTTAAATGGTAGCGACGATGCTTATCTTTAATAGATTTTTTACATTTAAAAATTTCTGTATTTAGAATATGATAAAATAGATTAATTTACTTTAAAGCTGAAAGTATAGTATTTTATGAACACATTCTATTTATTTATCTTCTGAAATAATTCTTAAACTTTTTAAAACTTATCATATTAGAAAAATATATAACAACAGATTTGGAAGTTTTTAGCGGATTTAATGGTATGATGAAAAAGTACATAATTTGTAGATTTGATTTTCTATTACATTAACCAATTTAGCACACAAATATTAGGTAATAATACCATTGATGATACATCTTGTTCAAATACTCGCTTCCTAGCATCTGGTGATTTATGATTAGCATTTATTAGTGCAGTTATTTGTAGCTATGCTGTGTTTTATTATTTATATTTTAATATTTATAATATTACAATACAGTGACAACATTGCATGTATTTCATTATTGTATTTTATTTGTTTTTCACATGTCTATATCAATATTAATGGGAATGAGTTTACGTCTTGATTCGATGTTTAGAAACCCAAGCTATACTGTTGATTGGATTATAATGGTGAAACTTCCTATTTTCAGTTTTACTTACCCATATCTTGGTAAAAGTGCAGTAATCACTGATACATTTTAGAATTGTACTGTTCGATGTAGGAATTACAAATTTAAGAGTATAGTATATTGTAGAGACTATCTAGTTAAGTCAGTGAAACTTTTATGAAGATACATTAAAGTTATAGAATACAATTAAATGCTTTCACGAGGCTTTTGAATGTGTTTGACTGTAGGGTTCTTTAATAATAGATATAACTCTTCAGCTGGCACTCTAATGCTTTCTGAACAAATTCAGGCCTTTCTTGTTTAGAAGGTATGGATGTCTTTTATTGTAATAATACTATTTTCATAGTTAATACAGACTATAAATTTCTAATATATATATAATTAAAATAGTCTGTGGACTAGTCTTTATTATATGTACAAGAATTTCTGATCAAATTACCATGTTACACAGTCTTTTATTATTATACAGTTTGAACACTGCATTGGAATGTTCATAGAAAATTAAATAATTGATTATATAACTGAAATAATATCTAAAGAGTAATTATGAGTAATACAAAAGAGTAATACAAATAAATTAATATATTAATAATAGAATATAAATAATAATAGAATAAAAAATAATAGAATTTCTTTAAAAAATCATAATAAATAAACTAAATAAGCATTTTATATAGAAAAGATTATGTGTGTAACAGAACAAGAAATAGCTTTTTATAAAAATATAAAGAACAATGTTTTAAAAGTATAGAGCTTTATTGTGATTATAATACTTTTTGCTAGATATAATATATAACTTACGTTTATCGATGGCAAATAAGACTTTTGTAGATGCACTTTTCCAATTATTAAATGAGTAATGAGTGATGTTTTGTTCGTTGTCAACTTCGTTGGATATTGCAATGGGTTTCTCAGCCGTTATAATAAAATTCTCCGACGTGTTTATTCGCTTCAATGTGATCAATCGTTGAGGTCGAGGTCTCCTAGTAGTCAGATTCACCTACACGTAAAACAAAAATTCATGTGACATTTATCAAAATTTATATTTCTTTTGATTATTCAATCATGCTTTATTTTTTTTATTAAAATATTTTTAACCAGTCTTACAAATTAATATATATATATATATATATATATATATATATATATATATAATATAAATATTATAAATACTGGTTTTGTAAATATAAATAACCATAGTAGCAAATTTTTTTTAATCAAAATTGTCTTCATAATAAAATATTAATTGTGTGCAAGATTACGAGTTACTATTTGAAATTATATATAAATTCATAAGAATATTTACGATTATTAATTCAAATTAATTTATTGCAGTGTTTAAGTTATTTCATAATAAATAATTACAATATTTATTCACATGACTTCGAAAAAAATGAAGGTTTATTAAATAGAAACAAATGATCATTAAATGTTCCTATTAGTAATATAAATAATTTAAACGAATTTATTTTTCATTAAAAAAAATTGTCTTTAGTTTTCTTATACATATTTCTATTGATTTTGTATAATAATTTAAATTAAAAACCTTTAATATAATATCAAGAAATGAATGATATTAAATTGTTAATTGTATTTGCAATGTAATTATAGTACTACATAGTATATATCTTTAAATATAATAAAGGTAATGCTATTTGTTAAATATCTATTTAAGATTTGCATACCTATTTTTCATATGAAATATAAATTTACAATCATTGTAAAATAATTGTATAAGTAAAAATATAATTTTTTTATAATTTTAAAAATATTTTAAAATAAAAATAATTTTCAAAACTTTATTTCATAGAAATAATGTTTCTTGTATAGTAAAGTGAGTTAAAATTAAATTTAAAAGCATTTTTAAGCTGGTTTTATTGATTCATTTAATTATATTGAAGAAATATTATTAAAAAAAATTTTTATCTTCATTATTTATTTTCAAAAATAATCATGAAATCTTTTAGATTTCAGAAAGTAAAAATTGAAATTAATAAGAGTAACTCATTATAAATGCTTTATAAATATTATATATAAATATAAATTCAAGGTTTTTTATAAGTAAGATTTATTTGTAGTTTATAATACTTTAAAGGTCAAATTCAATGAATTTTATAAAAGCTTAGAAGTTTTACAGTGAAGATTCGAAATTAATATCTTCAGTGTGTATTATTATTTTCCGTATTATAATCATAAATTATAAATTCTTTAATATTATAATTATATAGACAGCCATTAAATATAAAAAAATAATCAATGTGAAATGAATATGTACGCACGTAGAAAAATATATTATAAATGAATTTATTAAATTAATGTCTTGTATACACAGTTTAAATATACAAAATATATTATATTCAATGTGAAAATTAAATCTATTACATATGGTCCTTTATTAGAATTAATAAACCATAAATATTCTATTTGAATCAATTTGAATCATGAGTATAGTTTAATTCAAATAAATACAATTGAATACAAATGAAATTAAAAATTATAAATTAATTTATAATTGAATTATACGATTTAATTATATTTTACTTAAATAACGAATATTATATAATCATACATTTCAAACAGTGGATTAAGCCTTGATTTTAATTTAAATGTTGATTTTACTTTTGACGTATAGATTTATAATTTATTGTAATGGAATAGATTTTAATAATTTTTTATTCATGAAAATTAAGATATTGTAAAAAAATGACATAAATACCATAAATTATAAGTTATATTATAAATAAATTAATTTTCATAATTGTTCCACGTTTAATTACTTGAGTTAAATCTTATGAATACTATAAGTATTTAATTACAAAATGAAAATATAAATAATGTTTTATATTAAAACATTTATTAATGATATAATTAGAAAAAATAATTATTAAGTAACAAAATGTGTTACACAAATATGTTTTTGGATATTGAATTATTCTTAAAATAGTTTATATTGTATAATTTTATTTTTTGTAAATTTTTTTACTTTTAAATACTTAACATTAATACAATAAATTAACGAATTATTAATTATAAATCTTTAAATATAACTAAAATTCTTATTTAAACTACATAATAAAGAATTAATTATGTTTACATGGATAAAATGCTATTATTAAATGCTTGATTCTGTTGTTTGATTGCATATTTTATTACATTGTAATGTATAATAACATTACATAGATTGTTATTTGTATTCAATGTTTAGCAAATTTTTATGATTCCAATTGTATTTTTATGTAGTTTTTTAAATAGCAATACAAATTCATTTTATTTATACAATTTATAATATGATAGTAGTTATGTAAAATTATAAGATGGATAATATTTGTTTTAAATTTTTATTATTTACTTGAAATCGAGCTAAGCTAGTACTAATCATATAAATAAAATCTATTAAAAAGCAAATACATAAAAGAATTAATACATAATAGTAAAAAGTTATTTAATATTATTAATATTTATTAAAATATTGTTTAAGCATTTTCATGCAGTTAAATTAATTGTTCATTTATTTACACAAAATGTTTATAAACATAAATAATATTATTTGAGTGAAATATAAATATTTTCTTCATTGTCTAAATAATTATTCATAGCATTTTTTGATTACTGATTATACATTACAATTTATATAACTTTATATAAATTTATATAAATTGTAATATAATAGTAATTACAGTTAAAATACTGTATACTAAGAATTTTTTTAATACAATGTTATATGTACATTGTTTATGTATTATATAGTTGGACCTGTTCTGATTCTGAGCTTTTAAAACAAAAAATTCGCTTCTAGATGGGAAACATAAATAGATATACATGATTTAACTAAAATCAGGAAAAATAATCGCTTTGTTATAGTTTAAAATTATTTTTAAATTTAGAATAAAAAATATTGACTTACATGTTAATAAAATAATCATAAATATATTTAAGGTTTAAAAGCATTTTGAATTTTATATTTTCTATAAAATCAAAATCTATTAAGTTTAATAATTGTTATTTATTAATATAAAGATTATTTTATAAATATTTTAATATAATTATAATTATTAATTATATTACTAACTATATAATTAAAATTAAATTTTCAATTCAATGATGTACATATAAAAAACTAAACGGTATTTTAAACCGAGAAAATAATTTAATAAGTTTTTACAACTATTATTGAGAATAGAACTAGAAATAACAAACAGTATACAAAACAATTAAAATCAAATTTTATCAATCCATGGTACTAACATATATTATTAACAATGAAATAAGACTATAGCTTCTATTTATCAATCTTAATAGAGTGCTTTACGTGCAGTTGGTTGTTACACAATGTATCTCTGCATTCAGGATTGCCACACCACATTTTCTCTATCTGCAGATCTTGCGCTTCACTTAATGAAACGCTCACATCTACTTCTGATTCCGAAAATTCGTTATCATCAGACGTTGAACATTCGATCGGCTGTCAAAAAACATAATTATTATTGAACGTATTAAAATGTTATTTTCATTAACTCAAAATCAAATCTAAATAATTAAATGTTATATTTTCTAAGATATTATATATCAGAAATCTTTAAATAATTACAATTAAAGTATTTAACAAATTAAATATATATATATATATATATATATATATATATATATATCATTTTGAATTAACTATTTAAAAGTAATGTATCTCAATACCAAATAATTCAAATCTATAATATAACTTATAATTTTTATTCAGTTATTACATTTTGTTGTGAAATTGAAATAATATTTTTTAACTTATTTTTAAAAATATTTTTTTATTGCATTAAAACGAATATTTGTTTTAGTCTACTAATTATATATTTTTAATATCAATAGAGTTTATACAAATAATTTTCTTTCACTGTTTATTTTTTTTAATTACCATTGTAATAATAGATTATAAATTTATTAAACATAAAATATTTTTAAAAAATTAAAGATAAATTGAATAACGATCTTAGTTTAGTATCTTCGTAATTATTTGTAATCCAATATTTTTTTATTCTTATAGAAACTCGTACATAATAAAACAAAGATAAAAAATATTTTATATATTATTTATTATTAATATATTATTTTATATATTATTATACAGTTCCTATATACTAGGTGAAAGGCTACTCATATGTATATAAAATATACATATATATCATATTCAATGTAACATTAAAAAAAAATGCCAATAAACATTAATATGACCAGTAAAAGAGAAAAATTAATTAAAAGAATTTGTCGTATATGATCATTTTTATGGAATAATTAAACCTTTATTATTTTTGTCTAAAAAATTTGAAACTTCAATTATTGATTTAAAATACCAATTTTAAATTATTTGTATATACTAAGTGGTTCAACTATAAAATACATACACAGAAATCTTTGTCACTGCCAAATTCATTCGTTATTTTTTCAATTTTCGAAACCAATGGTTCATCATCAGACTCACTTTCTGAATAATTTTCTGAACTAATCTCTGAATATTTTCTTTTACTATCCCTAGGCATCGGGCTTAATAAAGTTGATTCAATTCTTTTTTTTTCTTTTGATGCAAGTTGAGTCTAGAATCTCAATTTATAATAATTAATATTTTATAATATCTAGAGATGGTTAAGCACCATTAATATATATCAATACTTTGTGGATAATTATTTGAAGTAATTAAATATTATATTATGATATTATATATTATATTATAATAATATTATATTTTGTAATAATGAAATGAAATAAAAATAATAGAACGAATTCTTTCTTTCAAATATTATTTAAAGTTAATAATATAATTAAAAATTAATTAGCCAAAATATATTCAAATTTTGGAAATTATATTTCCAATAAAATAAATAAAAAAATAGAAAAAATATTAAAAAAAGAAGTGTAAATAAAAGATTATCATGCAATTAAATGTAGTTAAAGACTAAGTAGATCTTAAATTTAATATGAGAAAAAATATAATAGGGTAACATTTTAAGGTCGTGCACATGTTCCTAACAATCTGCAATAAATTATTAAACATGCAAACAATTAGTAACGCATCAACATTATATTATACATTATATTTTATACACTTCTTTTTCTAAGTAAAAGATAAATACATTTGCATATTCTATCTAGAAATAATTATAAAGTATCTTTTGATTTTCTAAAATTTAATTACTAATATCCCATTTACATAAAATAATGTCTTTGACAATAATAATTATAAAATAATAATGAAATTAAGCTTTTATGCAAACAAATTGTATGTATCTGAATAATAATTTTTATTGTATTCAATAAATACAAAACTTGTCAAAAATAAATTTTTAAATTATAATATAAATAGAAAAATTAATTCTTAAATAAATCATATTTTACAATATAAAATATAAGGAATTAAACGGAAAGAAACAAAGAATTAAGAGAAGGAAAACTTACCGTATTGAGAATGCTAGAGACCTTAATTTTGGTCGGAGGCGGTGACGGAGATGTTTTAGATCCGGAGTCCAGGCAAGACAATGTAGATAAGATCAATCTTAATGAATTAGCCAGGTTCTTACTTGCTTCTTTTATAGTCATCGTTCTATCCTACACCCATCACCACGGTACGTATTTATCGAGCTTTTAAGGATTATTTCAAGATCATTCAAGGACTTTTTTCTTAGCCGCCTAATTACGTTATAGACATTACACCATACAAACTTTTGTCATGAATTAGAATCGATTAACTGCTGGATTATTAAATTTATTCAATTTATATATTTATATCAGTAATAGTCTTCAATATTATCTCAATTAAGATATCGTACGATTTAAAATAACTCAATTTTTTCTTTATTATTTTTTTTTTATGGTACCAATACACAAAGTCTATCTTAAACAAATTTTTAATATGTTAATTTCTTAAATGATAAATTTCAATGTAAATCTAAATCAACATACTCAAATATAATAAAACTGCAATAAGAAGTATCTTTAAAAAATCCATTCATTACAGGTAAATAAGATTTTTTTTAACTGTGAAATTGTTAATTGAATCTTAACAAAAAAATAATATAACCTAGTATTTTGTTGGTATTGTATTACCAATGCTATTTTATATATTGTTTATTATATTATATTTATATATATATATATATATATATATATATATATATGTATATATATTGTACCAACTATTATAAATATTATTTTAAATATTATTTAAAAAATTGATAATTAAAGATCCAGAATGCAAATATACGAAATTTAAGCAATAAAAGTATGTAAAAAACTAATAATCATGATGTTACATTTCAAATTAAATAAATGAAGAAATATATATTTATATTAATCGACAAAAACATGTTTATTGTAAAATGAAAATGTTACTGTATATTAATAAAAGAGAAATTTATTAATTTTTCTTTCAAAGAATTTCAATATTTTAAAAATATTATCCATTCATTTATTTTTACTTAAGGATTAATTCATATTAAATATAATTTTAATATTTTATAAAGCTCTATTAAATTACATACATTATAATTTTAGTTGATCAGCAATTATTCGATTTTACTAAAATGACTAACGTTTGAAAAAAGTTCTTGAATTTTACCTTTACAGTTGGAATTTTTTTCTGTCGCATGATCTGAAGTCCATTCATTTTTATATTTCTTACACGTCTGCGACTTTTTTGTATAATAAATATCTGAAATTAAATTTTTATATCTATTTAATATACAAATAAGAAATTCCTTAATGATATTTATAAATTATTTATCGTTTTATCGCATATTAAACATTAAAAAATTAAACTGTAATTATAACTCGAATTTTCTTAAAAGATATACTTAATTGTATTTATTTATAATACTTGTATCAACGTATTAATATTATTTATAATAATAGATTATTTAATAATAAATGCTTATATATAAAAAATTAAATTTGAACAATATTATATATTATAGAATATTTATTAGTTTTCCAAAAATTTTAATTATTTTTATATTATTTTTGCAAAAAGTACAATTTACTTTGTACATAAAATATAGTAACTCACAATTTCAACGTATGTTAATTAAAATTTACTTCAATCTCCTAACTATTTGGAATAAATAATTTTGTATTTAAGAAATTAAAAAATTAACAATAATAAAAGAATATAAGTGAATGATACATTTATTTGCTCGAATACTAATTATTTTTTAGATATCATATGGTAGTATGTTATAAAGTGTACCATATCAGAAGGCTCAATTTTTGTATATCCAAGTATGCCAGCAACAGTATTGAGACCAAACCGAAATATACGTAATATAATCAAACTTGGCAAAAATAAAAACCATGGAAGTGGCCTCACCAATTCGAATTTGCCAAATGATTTGCCATTTACTTCTGTAACAAATTAATCTATACAACTACATATAATAAATAAATAAATTTAATTTATTTAAGAAATGTAATAGTTTAAAATAATATTGCATAAATATCACTGTCAAAAAATTGAGAAATATTGTATTTAATACAAATATAGAAATTATGTTTCAATGTAATAAACTTGATTTTAACAAGGTAATTTGGTGTGTGTGTGTGTGTGTGTGATTTTTTCTGTATGTTGATTAATATATTGCTTTATTGTTTCAAAATTCGAGTCATTCTAAATTATTCAAGGTATGAAATAGAATAAGAATATTTTCATAAATTGAGAAATACTGCACATTATCATTAAAATAATAGGATTAATACGATTATGAAAACTTTCTGAATTATTTTGTGAATAAAAGTAAATAGTATTTTCAATTCTAACTCACCAATTGAGTAATAATAATTGCTAACGTATTTTAAATAATCATATTTGGTTCGTAACTGTATTTCTTTCATATGAATAATAATAATTATTAAATAATAAATATTTGTAATACAAGATGCAATTATATATGATACGAATGAAATCTAAACTATACATAATTATTCTTCATCAAATGTTGATATAATTGTTTTTTTTATTACTTTTATTAACGAATTTCAATCATATGAAAGACACTACATTGGTATTTAAAAAAATAATTATTTAAACGCAAGGTTTAGAATGAGTGATTAGGATCTAATGAGAATTTCCAATATAAAACGAAGACATACTGCGGGATCCTTGATAAATTATACTATATAAAAGATATCCGAATATTAAATTATCATTGAAAGAAGTCTTATAAATATTAAACAAATTTTTTATTTTACTTTCGTAGCTTATTATCACTCGTAAACAATGTTAAATACTGATTACTTACAGTTTAAGTAAATTAATTCAATTATACCGATTACATATTTTTATTATTGTAACTATAAACTACATTAAAATTTTACCATAATTAAAGATTAGTTGAAAATAATTAAATTTTGTATTACCTGCAGCTATGTCTTGAGTTGGTAGACTCCACTGTACAGACTTTTCAATAATATACAATGTTTTATCTGCAAGCTTGAGAACTGCTTGTCCAATAGACATTTGCGCTATTGATTTTAAACTAGATTCCATCGTATTATTAAAATTATTCATCTTCAACACTTTACCAATTAGTAACTGTAAAAAAAAGTATGTAAAAATAATACCCCAGTATAAATAAAATTTATATAAAAGGTTTTTTAAAGGTTTTTTTTTTAATGTACGCCATACATTTGATGTAATTTATATAATTAGGTATTCATTTATTATACATCAAATATAAATATTAAATTCGAAATTTGTTTATGTAAATACATAAAATAAAATAGTAATATTTATATTTATAATTATACTAAATTATAAAAAAATTGTGATTTTACAAAAAAATTATAAAATTAAAAATATTCTTTAATGTTATATAAAAATTATATTAAAAATTTTTAGAGTGTGTTTAATTTACAAACATAAAGTGGATCCGAAGATTTATATATATATTTAAATAACGATGTAAATTAGATAATATGATGAAAATTGAAAATCACACGCATTGTATAAAACCCATATTTTATACAGGTTATGAGATGTCAATTAAAAAGAGTGAAAATTTTGATATAATAAGTTATGAATATTTCATTTTATGCGAAATACTTGTATAAATTATTTAAATGAAATCGAAAGAAATCCATAAAAGTAATTAACATAACTATATTTGTAATTGATTGAAAGAATATTTTGTATAAAATATATTCGTTATAAATATAATAACGCTATAGGTTCATAATAACGATAATACATTTAATATATTGTTTTACATAATATTAAATTTAAAAAGTTTATTATCCTATAAAAAGCTTAATCATTGATTATCCAAAATTAAAATAATTTACAAATCTGTGCTTATACAAAATTAATTTTTTAAATTCTCAATAAATTATATTTCAAAAATCAATTGAACATTCTGAAATTAATGCATATTGCTTTATTGTCATTTACTAAATGTTTTGTAGCTCATTAGAAAAATATAATTATTTTCTATTATATATCAATATTGCAATTATATGACTCTACATAGCATTATATGTCTTACATTAAATATTTAAAAATTATATATTTCATTTTAAATAAATTTTTAATCAAATAATAATTAAAACAAATCACTTATTTATATTAATAATTCAATAAATGTTATTGAATGATTAATAATATGTTATTAATATATTATTTCTATATAAATTTGTATATTAAAAGCTATTTTAATATATACTACATTAATCCAACCAATTTAAGTAGATAGTTTTATTAATAATATTAAAATAAAGATTGACTTGTTTTGACACATGAATTTGTTATTCTTTAGTTTACAATTACTAGAGTAATTTTTGTTATTCAAATAAAATGTTTGTATAAAAGTTTTTTAGAACACATATATTAATTAAAACGATAATGACAGTTTATAAAAAAATAATCAACGAAGTTTTCTGATAATTGGTATCAAAAAGGCACGACCTCATTTTATTAATCTTTTCAAACTTTAGAACTGCAGCATTATAAAAATATGAGTAATATGTATCTGCACCAGAATATAAAATATTATTGTTTCGATGGGATGATTTATTAGAAATATAATTATTATCATTGATTCAATTATAAATTCTGAAACACAATAAATTTATATTGGTTGCATCTTTTTAGTTACTAATAAATATTAATAATATATGAATACAAGAAAGATATATTTGTTAGCAGCAATATTAATATAATTTGAACAATCTATAATTTTTATTTGTAAATTTACATTTTCAATAATATTTATGATTTACAATTTTTATACTAAATAAGATAACTAATACCTAAATGAAGAAAATGCGGCTTTATTTAAAAAATTAAATGTGATAATAAAATACTGGTAATTAAATATACCGCAGTATATTTTATTTAAGAAGAAATAGAATTTTATTTTTTAAGATTAAATCATCAATATAAATAGAAAATGAATCTATAATTTGAACAAAAAATATTTGCGAACATCATAAATAAAATTTTTTATGAAAATTATGATTAAGAAAAAAAGAAATTTATAATAACTCTCACCTAGTTTTATAATATATCTTATCTATTCTCATGATACTTTACAAATCATAAAATGGTTTAACACATTTCACTTTTAAATTTATAAGGCTTATACTTTTTCATGTTATGAAAATCTACATTTAAATTAATTTTATTTTTAATTTGTAATAATTAAATTATTAGTTATAATAAAATTTTGTACGTATCAGTATACAAACTTTATCTTGTATTCTAGCTATCACCTTGCTTTTTCAATCATAATGATTTTCAATATTATGCAATATTTTTTATTTAACTAACTTTATTTATTTCTTTGATAATTTGGAAAATTACATTGAATTATGTTTTTGATATGTATATGAAATTGTTTAAAATTTATGCATTTATGTAAAAAATTAAAATAAATAGTATTCTAATATTATAACTACTATAATTTTACATTCGATATATTTTTCTATGAAGATATAAAATTAAAAAATAGTGTCAAAAATTTTTTTTACATATATTACTTTTATTAAGTTCTTGAATAAAATATATTTAAATTTTTAAAGTGTATGTAGGTTTCTTTATAACTTTTTTTATTAATTTATCTTCAATATTTCGCAGTCATCAATCTTTTTGTTCATTGTATAACTATGAAATTCTTTTAATTAATGTATTTTATCTAAATACAAACTTGTACATTACAGTGGCACATATACTTGAGAATTTTAAAAAATTCGACCATTACTAATAAATGCATGTTATGTTTTTTAATTATGTTAAAAGTATGAATTCTTATATATCAACCCTAATATATAAGCGACAATATTTTTTAATATTTTTTATTATTTATTAATCCACAAATTAAAAAAATTATTTAGATATTTTGCACGAATTAAATATTGTTTTTAATTGGTAAAAGTTTTTATATTTTTAAATTGCATGGTTGGATGTATGCGATGGGTACGTGCATAAATACGGGACTAACCAAACATTTATTAAGAATATTCTTAAAATTTCTTAAATTAGTTCATTTATGAATAATTTATTTTTATTTAGTGTATTTTGAAGTTTATAAAAAATCCATAGATGTTGTTTAGCTGTTTATTATTTGTTCGTAGATCCTTATTAAATTATATATATAATTCTTTTTATACACACAGTATTGTATTAATTATATTAAAACATAAGCTAAATTGTTACTTTCAAATTTCATGTAACAAATAATTACATTTATCTTATTAATATTAATGTATTAATTGATAATTTAAAAAATTACATATAATTTTATACATTATGTAAATTTTACAATATATATGTTATTCTAATATTTAATTATTTCATATATAATTGTATCATAGGAAATATGAAAGTTAATTATCTATATCCATTTTAATGTATCGAAAATTTTATTGAGTATTTTGCAATTATTTTTATGTGTAGCACGATAACAAATTTATCGTATTATCATGTTTTGTATAACAAATATTTTATTTTAAAAATTGTTCTTTTTAAAATTGTCTAAATTAAATTAAATAAAAGATATAGTAAATTTAGATTTTATCTTCATTTGAAATAACTTAATCATTATTATATTGATAAAACAGAAATTTGTGGAATATATTTCTGTTGGAAATAAAATAATTTCGAATATTAGATAAATGCATAGATAATTTTATATAATATATTATATTACACGTTTTCTTATCATAAAATTTGTTTAAGTCGACTTCAGCTAAGACTATAACCGAATGTTTTATAAAATATTCAAATGAATATAAACAAGTTTTGCTACACAAAAAAAACTTAAATAATTATAATACATACACATGTATTAAAGATAAAGGATGATTAACAAAAATACTTGTGTATGAAATAATAATAAAGCTAATATTATTTTTAATATATATCTTTAAAAAAGTTAACTTTACGTAGAAATTAAGTATTGAAAATTATACAATCATATATAAATTTTAAAATTTGTTTTATATATTAATGTAAGAATAACAATATTTATTTTTGTATTTTTCTATTTATTTTTTTTTTTTTTAGTGAACGGAAAATAACAATTTTAATTTTTATTTTTAAAAAAAGTTAAAATTTTAATATAAGATTTACTGTGAGTTAATTTATTTAAAGAATATTGAAATTTCCTTATTATATAATGTTTGTTTAAGTAATAAATCAATATAATTGTTTTATAGTTAAAAATATTAATAATAAAACATTAGATTTTAATGATACCATTGTACAAAATAAAAAAATAACGATGCTTATTAATTAGCTGAACAGCATTTAATCCTTTTTTAATGATCTCATTTCATTTTTCAGTTTTTCACTGTTTCTCATATTTTTTCTTACTAAAATGTAAACTGATTCAATAAATATTTCCTTTAAAGTACAACTTAACTATTACTAATAAGCAAATAATTAATTAATTATACATGTAAGAAGCTGGTTAAATATTTATTCTTAGAATAGATAAAAATTATTAATAGACTTATTTTAATAATGAATCTAAATGAAATTGAAATTTTTATTTGTACAGTAAATAATACACGTGTATTTGAAAATTTAATAATTATAACAAAACTTACGAATTGGTTTTAAAAGTTAAGTTTTATATTTTACCAATAAATTATAAAAAGCATTAAAACGTATATTATTAAAATGTTTGCATACATGTTTGTATTTTTAAATTAGTGTGACAAATTAATTTTTAATTTATATTAGGTTTTAGCGTGATTATGTATATTTTTCTCTTTTTAGTTACAATTTTCATAATATTGCATATTATGTAATACTTTCATATTTGTAAAAACTATTTACCATACTAAATAAACTAAAATAGCCTAGTTCTGGCTTGTTTATAAGTCTTAAGAAATATTATGAAATAAAAATGAGTTTAATTTATTAAGATATCGATAACAAATCAATTATATAATTTAAATTCTTAAAATATTTATTTAATTTTAAATAATTTAATTACCTAATAATTTTATAAACAAATATACATATAAAGTAAAATACATGTATAAAAAATACATTGTGTTTATATAAATTATATATTTAATCAGAGCAAGATTTTATTCAATAGCAAAGGTATAGTTTCATTTTCAATTAAACATTTCTTTTACATTTATTTCTTTAAGAAAAATATAGAAATATTTTTAACGAATTATGGAGGGAAATTGCAAATATTTTAAATTACAATGACTTTGGACAATATTTGATAACTTCTTTTCAACAATTTTTGTAAAATTATGTATATATATTATTTTAATGTAAATTTATAATTTACATTTAATTTTATTCCATTTAATTTTACATTTAATGTAATTTTTTTAAAAGTCTTTTTAAACTAACAAAAATGAACTAATTATGAATTAATTATGAATGATTAATAACTATTAGTTATTAATTATTAATTGGATATAATTTATAAATAGATAAGACACTCGTTATTATATTATGTTAAAATTAGTTAAAATGATTTATTATTAATTACAAATTTTTCATTCAATTAAATGTCTAGAAACTTTACTTTAATACATTTTTCTGAAATATCGTTAAATAGTACATAATTACTCAAATATCAAAATGAATAATTAGCAATAATTAGAAATTAAAAATAATGTAAAATTATAATAAATTATGTATAATAACAATTGTATACAGTTTAATGAAATATAACAGATGTTTTACTCAAGAAGATTAGCAAAACGTGAAATCATATTTACATTCAGCAACTGATTTTGATTAATATTTAACATGTCATTTTTTGTGAATATAATTCTTGAAAATATATGTGCAATCATAAAAATATATTAAAGGAAAATGGGTAGAAAACAAATATATATAGAAAAACCTTTTGTAGACTATTATATATTTTGATGTTCCATGTAGCAAATATGAGTTGAACTGCTTTGATTTTGTACTCTTGCTACTGCTTGAGTAATTGGGAATCTGAATTTCGAAAAAGCAGTTTTTATCATAACCTTTGGAAGATATGTAATCACTGAATTAAAAAATAGGGGGTATTTTCTTTTTCCCCTCTTATTTTTCTAACTTAAACAAACATTCTATTGAAGCGTGCGTATAGAAATATAATGATGTTTAATATGAAAAAAGCCACGATCGACTAGTGGGGACTTACGTTATGAGCCACAAGCAGTTGATTGAAGCCGATTTGATCCAACGCTTTTCGCGCCTAAACCCCCTTCTTATTTTGTATGTAACTACTCGGAGAACAACAAAATAAAATATTACATTTTTTTAATTTATATTGTTATAGTATTTTATACCATTAATTTCACGAAAAATAAATTACATTATTTTCATGCTTACATAAATAAAAAAAAATTAAATTTGATAAATGAATAGGCATATATTAAAAATAGAATTTATATATTATATAAGCAAGCATATTTTTAATTGATAAGTTACCTGAATTAATTTGAACTTCTTTTGAAATCGATCCCCAAATTATATATTTTTTTTATATTTGTACGAATAAGAAAAATTAGAATCACCCTAATGACAAAAAATTTGTCTACAATAAAGATATAAATCGTAGCTTTTAACAACTGAACATATCATAATACTTTGAAACATGATATATCTTTTGCTACGATGATTTATGAAATTATAAATGATTAGTTTATGCATATTCAGCATTTAATGGTAAATCTAAATTATACAAAAAAATGTTATCAAAATTTGAAAATATAATAAAATAAAGGATTAAATTCATAAAAATATTATAATTTATCAATAAATAAAATTATATCAAACAATAATTTAACTTCAGAAAGAAAAATAGTACTTATCAAATTAATTTTAATTAATTATTTGGATTGCAAACTATTAAAATATTTTGTTAGATTAAATTCATTTTTCATATTTCAATCTTTTTAATTATTATATTGATATTTAAATTATTCATGTAAAATTTAAACTTGTGTAAACTCTAGTTCTGAAAATTTATTTATATCAAATATGAATTATATAATAATATTTATATTATTTTCTAAATAGAATAGTCAATAGTAATAGTTAGTTATTTTAAATAATTTATTAATAATTCCTATATTAGGAAATTTAATTATTTTCTCAAATTTCATTAAAAAATTTATTAATTTAAGTATCTGATATTTTTTGTATAATTATATATATTAAAATGTAGAAAAGGTATTTAGATAATTGCCATTTAGATTAATAATATATTTTACAAAATTCATTAAAACATTGTATATAATTATTTTTTTATTAAATAGTTGCAGATTAAAATAAAAATAGCATGAGTACTGAAAAACATTGATTTACAAATGATTTTATTAACAAATAAGATTAAGAGAATAAACCAATTAGAATAACAATGTCGATAAATTAAATTTGGAAAATTACAATATAGCTTATTACATATTTAACAAATAATCAGTTGTGATATCAAGAGTTGAGATATGAAAACAGATCAAACAGATTCCTTTACCTTTTAATTCTAAACATTCCTCTACTGTTTTCAATAAAGATTTAAAAAATTTTAGTGATTAACATATTACTCAATTTAGAGTGTAATTCTTAGAAGATATTTTAAGAATGTTTATTTAACTATCACAAAATTTTTTCAAATTAATTTTATATTATTCATAATTACATTCTCAAAATAAGTTAAATAAAAATATTTCTATCCATAAAAATTAAGTATTCCAATATAATTCGTACATTGAAAAATATTTAAAAATATATGTAAAGAAAATTAATTAAATTTTAAACTTAATTTCCTTATTTTTAAATTTCATACACATTCCATTTTTATTTTTTAAATAAACTATTTTCTAAGCATAAGAATTGAAGTGTAATAAAATATATTTTATCATTATAGTTAAGAAGAGAATAATAACCATTTACTAATATATTAATTTCTGGAAGGTATTTTAAAAAAAACTACATGGTTATATTCAATAATGATAAAAATAATCTAATGTTAAAGTATATATAACCAAATGATATTTCTACATTTATTGTTATAGTTTTTAATAATAAATACACATTGAATACAAATATGTACTCTTGTTTTTGTTGTATAAATAAGAATTTTTAGCTACTTAAACTGATTATTTTATAATAATTCATTTTTATGGAAGATAATTTCATACTTTTCGTGAATAGTAATTATAGAAATTAATAAAAAAAATTTTAATTGAAAAAATATATATTTTAAAACACTTTAAAACTTTTGTACAGAATGAAATGAGTTTAATTTATATACTACTACTATTGTTTATAATTAGTGTATTAAGTCATTGAATAAATCAAGTGGTAAAATCTATTTTTTGCAATCACAAGCGTTAATGTAAAATTAGATATTTAGTTTACCACCTTTTACAGAATGAGTTGAAAGAAAAAACAAATGAAAACATCTACTATTGCTTGCTTTAATTTGCTATTAAAATTAAATTGAAATTAACATAATTTTCTATTTAATTTTTATAAAATTAATAAGAAATATAATAAAAGTAGGTTGAATATTTTACTAAACAGATTTTTGGGTATTTTCATTTAAATCCATTATCTTTTCTTTAATGTAATTATTTAATAACCTAACAAGAATAAATGGTTGAATACAAATTAAAAAGTTTATTTTACATGATTTAATTGGAATAGTATAACGTAGGTATGTGTTAAAAAGACTATCCACATGTAAAAATATTAGAATTAGAAAAAACAGATTCATAATCACATTAATAAAGTTGTCATGCATGTAATTTTCGTTTTAAGTAATTATTTGAATGGTATATCTAACAATTTGTACTAATAAATATATTTTCTTGTTTCTGAAGTTGAGACAAACTTTTATTGCCTGATTTATTGGTAATATACCTATGTTTTAAACATACATTTCACTGATTTATCAAAATATAATGAAGTAAAGGAAAAAGTGTGCAAACATTGAACGATTTCTCAATTAGCATAGTAATGTTTCATGCATCAATATTGATTTTAAACAGACTTGACTCTATCGCTCCACTTTAACTCTTATTTGAATCATAAAAATTGATTCAGTTAATATTTATCATCTTCATGGTCGTCTCCTTCAATTTCTTCTGGAGGTGCAAAACCATCCTAAAAGTGAAATGAATCTTATTAATGTTTTATTAATTTATTAAATTCTTAATGTTGTTAAAGATAAAACATTATGTGCTACTAGTCAATTATTCAATAATAAAATATAATTTTATATAAATGAGATAAATTTTTAAAAAATAATTTACTTAATTGAAAGGTGTAAAGGGCTATAATGAATATTAATATAAAATTGAAAACTAAAAATGAAAGTTTGTGTCAATAAAATGTATTTAAACAGGAAGTTCAAAATATTACCTCAGTTGCATAAAGGACTTCTAAAATTTTTTGTATAATTGAAGTACTTTGACTATTATCGCATTCTTGGCACATAACTTCAATATCTCTTAATTTTCCAAAGTAGAAATCTCTTTCCTTTTCTAAGCCATCGACAGTCATTTTTAATTCCATTATCTATATATCACAATTTAATTTTATTACAAAGATTTATTCAATTTTTAATTTTATGTAATATAGTTTATTCAAGAATAATTATTTTACCCGAGAACTAAGTTCATCAATTTTTCCTGTGTCTCCACGATTTCCAAGACCAATTTTCGGTTGTGCACGGTTTGACTGAACTTTACCTACTAAAAGAATAAAATTTTTATAAAAAGTATTTTTAAAGTTTGTAATTATTTTATAATAAAATTTTGATTTTACTATCCAAATTATATTTCATAAGCATTTTTAATTATTATTTGTAACTAATAGGCAACATATATTATATGGACTAACTAAGATTAAATTGGCATGCTTACATGAATCATGCAAAGTGCATTGTTATAAATTAAAAAATACTGAAAATATTAAAAGAATTTAAAGATAAATATAAATATTATAAATACGCGCACGCTCAGTCATGCGTGCACAAAAGGCTATGCATATGCATGTGTATTCAATTAAAAAAAAAATAAATAAATAAAAAAAATAAAAAAAAAATATAAAAAAATCAAAATAATAATTACTAGTCTTTTGAACAGTTTTTGCAGGTACTTGGACCGAAGATGGTAGTCCTTCACCTATGATGAATTGTTCTATGAATTAACCCATAATAAAATAAAATTTTTAACAAAAACTTATATTATTTATATTATTTAAAATATATTATTAAAAGTCAAATTATATTATATATTATAAATAAATCTATTTAAAATCATAAACTTTTTTTTATATATATTTATGTTTGTTTTGAATTATTTTACTTTTATTCATATTTGTAAGAAGATAACACAAAAATTTGAGAAAAAACATGTTTAAAGTATATAATATCACAAACTACATTAATATTTATTAAATTCAGGTATCATACTTGAAGTAAGACAATAAACTATTATGTATACTACATGACCTCTGAAAATTATTTTCTGACATCTATTATATCTTTCAATAAGCAATCAACTTTTTCTGAAGATAGATTATATTCCATTACTTAGATATGATTGATTACTTAGTAAAATAAAAAAATTTTCCTCTGATTTACAAATAGAAAATTATTAAATTTATAATACATTTTATGAAAATTAAATATTATAATTCTAAACTATTCCAATTTTATTGTTTTTAAAATATTACTATTTATAGTGATATATATTTTTTTTTTAATCCCACATACAGGAATATTTAAAATTTTATGATTTATATTATATAAATTAACGATTATTTTTAATGTTCGAATAATATACAAAAAAATAGATAATTTAGTTGTTGATCAATTTATTGTTGAGTTTTCCTTCAATATTATGAATAGGTAATATTTCGAATTTCTAATTAAATTCAGATTTTCTTTTAAAGTGATAGATTATAAAAATAAATTATAAATAATAAAATTTTATTTGCAACTGTACCGGCCCTAGTAGTTGGCTTAGATGGCACTGAGGTAGCTCTCTTTACCAATCCAACACCACTACCCATTGGTTCACCTCCTCGCATAGCTAGAGCATCATACACATCTGTCCCCGAATAATTTGCATCAAAGAATTTCTTGAACCATTGTAAAAACTCAAAGTTGTCCTGAAACCTGCTCTTGACCAGCTTATCTATTGGTACAGCCTGGAAATGGTATTTGATATTCGCAAAATACAGCATAACAAAATAAAAGTAGATTCAAATTTAAATAAAGAACTGATAAGTAATATTAATAATTAAGAATACAAATACTAAAACATTCAAATCTATATTTATTTATTTATATATATATAGTAGATTCATATCTGGAATTGAATGTAAGATAAATGGAGTAAAACTAGTCATCAACACAACTAGTCTTAGTAACATAAAGCAGAATAAAAAAGTTCTGAACATTGTCAATCGTTATTCGTTAAAATATAGCTATATATTTTATTTGGATTTGAAGAAGTCTATTTCGATAATTTTTCAACAAAAAAGAATTAGAAAACAAAACATCCAAACACTAGGATCAAAATGTAAATGAATGTATATACTAATACTGAAAAACAAATGTTAAAAATAAAATATATAGATTAAAGTCGACCTATTGATATGTATATGCATATGCATAAGCACAAAGATGTACGCACAGATACACAAATTTTACAAATAAAATTAAAGCGTATATTAAAAATATAGTTATTTAATTCTTAAGAGCTAGAAAATATTCCTCTATGATTCAATATTATATAAAAAAATATTTTTAATTTTGGAAATTTTATACCCAGAAAATAATATAGAACATGTAAAATTATTTGTTAAAATCGTTTAAAATAAAAATGAAAATATATACGTATAAAATACAGTTCTCTAAAACTGTTCCCTCTATGAAATTTAGAAGCTAACATGCAACAAGCAGTGCATGTGAATATAACATTATTTTAAATTAGATATCGATGTACTCATTTGCTGTCGCGGTATGGGCTTTCCCTGTTGAATATGCTTCTGTTGAATTTGTTGCTTCTCTGGAAGCAGTACCAACTGTGAATTTGAAACATTATGAGTGCCATCAACTCCAGAACCCAGAGGAATACATCCGCGTACATCAAATGCTTCATATTCGCGGCCATCGTAGTTAGCATCAAAAAACTTCTTAAACCATTGAAGGAACTCAAAATTATCTTGGAAACGGCCTTTTATAAGTTTGTCCACTGGTATTACCTGAACCATTTGTGTAGTGCTTTGAGCATGATAATATAATACAAATAGCACTTTTTATGACTATAATAAATTTAAAGTATTTCTTATAAATTTTGTGAAGGATTTCTTTGGAAATGCAAAACCTTACCTTTTCAACATTCATTTTTTTGAATCCTCCTTGAAGTAATTTGAAGTTTTGAATATATTCATGTTCCAAATTTGTCTTGAATTTAACTCTTTTCAATGGTACTGAACCAGGAAACAACATATCCATGAATTGACAATATGCTGCACCTGTACAAAGTTCTTCAATCTTAAGGAATGATGATTGTAGACAATCATTAACCCAAGCCAGCATGTCGTGACGACTGAGGTTTTCAGTTGTTACATTTGTCGCATAAACATTGACAGCCATGATTACTAAAAATTTTCAATGAAGAAAAATTAGTCATTGTAAGTTAAACAAATAATTTAATTGAAATATATATAATTGCTATTAGGATATAAAATTATAATATATTATTGTATAGCATTAAATATTAAAGAATATGTGTTATATTTATTATGTTATTTTACAGAAATCGAAAAATTATTAAGTTAATAAAATAAAAAATAATAAATTTAAACAACCTATAATTTACATTACAAAATATATAAACAGCTAAATTTATCAATATGAATACTTTACTACGTAATTATATTCATTACATCTCAATCATTAAATAAATATTTCATATAAATGCATATCGAACATTCATCTAAGAATTAAAAAGTTTAAAAAGAATTTTATTTTCTATTTCTTATTGTATGTTCTCGTTTACCAGTCTGAACTCGAATTTAATTAATGTCTTCTTTGATATTGATATTTCGAAGTGTCATAAAAATTTTAAAAATTTTATAAAATTAAATAATATCCGAATATTTAACCACGTTTATTTTCTTAAAAATCCTTCAGAATATGGCGTAAAACAACCCTACATAAAAGATGCATCCTTGTCCATCAAAGACTTGAGAGAGACAACTAAATATACACATGTCAAAGAGAGGATGAAAGAAGATACAGATCAATAGAGGAATAAGGGAGAGAAAATATAAAATAGTATTATTATTTTGTACATAGTGCATTCACTTTTTAAATACACATGCTGGATAGACATGTATGCACATCTTAAAACTTATCTGCAATAGAATTTAATCAGTCAAGAATTTTTGTAAAAATTGAAAAATGTCTGCGAGTGATTTGAATTTCCGTCTATAGGCTTATATAGTTAACGGAAATACATATACATTTTTAGATATTTTAGCTTTTAAATAAAACATAAATCATATAAAATAAACAAAAAGTTATTTTATAAATCAGAGTTTTCTTTTAAACTTACCCAGATATTATTTTATAGATTCTTTATTGTTTAACGTGATATTTAACTTTCTTCCTAATACACTACAAGAAATCCAAATTAGCAACTCACGGTAGCGATGTAGTGTTGCCAAGATAATTCATGTAATTTACTGATTCTGCGCATTTAAAGCCTTACATTGATACGCTCCCATTATATGCGCTAATATTTTAAATAATTGTTCCAAGTATTAACAAATTTAAGATAAGATCTTTTTATATAAAAAAAAGTTGATGATATGTCTTATCATATATAATTTTATTTCATAATAAAAATAAATCACTTTTATTCTTTTAGTATAATTTAAAAAATAAAGACGATAATGTAAATATTACGAAGAGGGAAAAAGAATTTTTTTTATCATTTTTTTTTAATTATTGAATATTAAATATATTGATCATAATGATACTTGTTTTAGTTATCAAATATCTTAAATACTGTCCACTTAAGCAACAAACATCGAGACTTGTAAATAAACCCGCCTCGAATTAATGATAATATTAGGCACATAAACTTAAAGACTTTTTATTTTATAAATTATATAAACAATTATAATATATAATATGGAAGTATATAATGTTAATAAAATTAAAAAGTAAGAAAATTATTAGGTATTTATACATTTAAAATTTTTATATTATTTTTTACAATATTGGTTGATAGTATATATTCAAATTAAATTGAATTATATTTTTTATTGTATTATTTAATATAAATTATATTAAATAACTTTAAATAATGTATTTTATTGAAAAAGTCATTGATATAAATAAAAGAAGTTCGAAATATTCCGTTGAATACTTTTTTAATTTGCAACTTCTGACGTAATATACTATATAAAAGAGTAATCATCAAATATTGAAAGTGGTTGTTAATATGAATGTCAATATAAAACTAAATCTATAAATATAATAAATTGTAGCAACAAATTTTATAGAGATATAGTGTAGTAAGTAGAAATTTCAATTAAACATATGAAATAAAAATGTAAATAATTATTTTTGTTGATTTAAAAAGAAATATAATATTTAAGAACAGAACGTTATGATAAAAATGTAAAGCTTTCAACTGAAACCAGTAATACATATAGTGAATATAGTTGCATAAACTAAGTAAAACTCGCGACAAACTGCGAATTCTTAATGCATCATAATTAATTATTATTGATTAAAACAAAATATATATATTTTTTGAAAAATTATATATTTCAAAGAAGTTATCGCTAATTTCAATATAATTGAGTCAGCAAAATTACTAATGAAAACAATGAAGGAAATAATTATTGTATTTTTTTATGTTAGTACATCATTATTTATTTATTCAGATATAAAACTTCATTAAGAACTTCTGAAGATAGTTCAACTATTATCTATCTTCTTACAGTTGTTAAATTATTTAAAAAATAAACATTATGACTTTACAATAAACATTATAAATATTTCTAATAAATGTTAATATCTAGAAACCACAGTTTTTAATATAGTTATAATGTAATTTCTAATGAATAAGAATATGTAATATTGTAATGTTGTAATAATTGTTTATATGTAATAAAAGTTGTAATAAAAGTTGATTATTTTTAATTTGTAATAAAAAATATTCAAGTATATATGTAACTAGTATAATATTATTCTATGTATAATTATAAGGACATAATGAATAAATTATTTTAAATATATTTTCATCTGTAAATATCAAAAATATATTATAATGTACGTTCATATGGTTACAGAAAGATTATTAACACGTATTACTTTTGTATATATAACAGAATATTTACAACACAAAGCTTATTACTTATTTTCCTTACAGAATATATTTTTAAAATAAAATAATAAAAGAATGTATTTTAGAAATTGGAAAAACAATATTTTATTTTTAATATATTAATAGTAATAAATAATAAAATTAATTGTCCAATTAAAATTATTAGATTATTTTGGGGATTTATTACAGCATTAATTAAAATCTTACACCAGATATAATTCGATTCTTTGCATATTTTAAATTTATATCTAGTTAGTGTATAGACAGTACGGCAGTTTTAAGCATCCGTATTTAAATGACATATTTCATTATTGACTTTTCAAACTAATTCTAATCAATTTTACCTAAAGTTCGTAATATATTTTTATATTATGTAACTAAAAATTATTAAATATTATTTTAATTATGGACAGTAGTCAATTTTATATTTAATTTTTTTCAGATAATTTACATGTGGCTTTATTTTATAATAGTTTTATTTATATTATAAAAATATCTTTTTATATAGTTATTGAATCAAATTAAATTTATATATTTAAATTTTTTTATTAATTTATATTTTATTTATGATTATTTAGATTTTAATAACAGTATTTTAAATTTTAATAAATACTTTTTAAATTAATTTTTTCAACATTTTAATTTAATATTCTTTCATTTCCATTGAAAAACCACGTCTGTTCAGAAACATTAAATTTTTTAGTGAGTGACATTAACCACATAAATTAAAAAAATATACTCTACTCTTTCGTTCCCTTAGTTAATTATATTTACTTTCCGAATTCCCTTTTTATTATTAAATACTCAATTCTTTTAAATTTTTGTGTAATCGAATCTGAATTCTTTTATTTTTTAATAAATATTTTATATAAATAATTTATTGATTTAGTTTTTTTTTTAATTGTTAATTATCCTAAAGTTAAATAAAATTTTGATCAAATTAAGTACATAAATAATTTGATATCGTTTTTGGAAGAACTATTAAAATTGAAAAAGTTAGCTGAATAAATTTTGTTAAATGCTTCTTTAGTATTAGTTATTAAAGAATTTTTATTTTATATATTTGAAAGTGTTATACGAAATTTATTTTCGCTTATGGTAATTTTTTTTATCAATTGTTTTAATTCAAATTATATAACTATATTACACAAATCCTAATATTCTAAATTAAAATTAGAATATCTAAAAAAATATTTCTTCAGAGGACTTTACCACAAGAAAATATTACAATGGAAAGAACACAATATATTAGAGATCTTAATGACACGATACCTTCAATTACAATTGCTTCTCATGAGATTAAAAACATCAAGGCTAATTCAGAGCGAAGTGATTTAACGCTTAGAGAAATGATGGAAGATAGCACTGCTACTGGCCTTGTTTTAAAAGCTGATAAGCCATGGCGTGATGCATATTCTAAGTTACATTATGAATTTTTAAATATTGTACAAGCTCATACATCAGAAGTACAAATTTTTGAAGTTATAGCTAATTTTATTCATAGCTGTACTGTAACTTTAGATCTTATGAGAGGTTTATATATTTAAATTTATAGATATATATAATTTTAATTATAGTTTTATACGTATAATTCATACAATATTCTAAAATAATAAATCTCTTGCATTTTACAAAAATTAAAAATTTTATACATTTTTGTAGGAATTAAATCAAAAGTAGAAAATTCTGAATTATCAACAGAGGAAATAAGCTTAGAAAATGAAAGAAATACTTGGAGACTTATATACTGCCTATATCAAAATCGTTTAGATTCAACAGATTTTCATTCGCAAATGGAAATGGACAATATTTTAAATATATCAGAAAAGCAAGTAATAGATGCTTTATATAAAAATAGTAGATTAATAAGGGAATTCCAACTTATTATTGATTGGTTAGAAAAGAATGCTTTAGATCAAGCAGATAGATTACCATTAATCGAAAATTTCACAGATAAAACTGTAGCATGGGAAAATACTTTACATCAATTACAAAATATTAAAAGTGGAATTACGTTTGCTTCATCTAGACCAATTATTTCAACTATGGACCCTGATGCTCCAATAAGAGAAGGTAAACCATTGCATGATTTAGATAGAGAAGATGATGCAAGATTAGAAAAACGAATGCTTATAGAGGTATTTTCAAACTTTGTTTTATATTTATGTTTATGAGATAAATTATATTTAATTAGTATTTTCAGATTTTTACAGGTGTTTTTAACATTAAATTAAACAATTAAATTTATGTATAAACAAGACCATTAAAATTATAAATTTTACTTATTGAATTTTATAGGTCCGTTGTGGTAGATTACAAAAAGCACAAGCTTTAGCTATACATTGTGGCCAACAATGGCGTGCTGCTTGTTTACTCGGATGGACACCTTACCATGATCCAAATTATATAAATCCTCTTAGTGATACAAAATTACCAATCGAAGGCAATCCTAACAGAAGTTTATGGAAATTATGTGCTTGGGAACTTTCTAATGATGTACGAGTTGGTAAGATTTATTTAATTTTATAAATTTGCTTCATAGTATCTATTTACATTTTTATTATTAAATTTTTTTTATGATTTTATAAAAGTAAACGTACATATGATTTAAAAATTGAACTATTATAATTTATTATGAGTTTGATAAAAATATTTAATAATTATGGTATATGATTTAATAAAATCGAAATGTGATTTAATTTTTTCTTTCATTAGTTCATTTTATTAGTTATGTTCTAGAAAAATTGAAAAATTTTGTAATATTTTTTAATTCGTACTTGTCTGGGATCAGACTAAAAGCCTCCCTGTGATGGTGGATGGAGGCTTGCTGGCAAGTGGAAGGGGCAATGCAATAATTCAACACTGCCTTTTGAATGTAGTGTCTTTCCTTTTATTGAATATAATGAATATAATAAATAGTCAGTGATCTATGTATGTCAATGAATGTATGACACATGAATGGATGAGTTTCTTCAATTAATATTAGCGACAAAAATTCTGTAAGTGTATTCTTGATAGCTTGGAGCTTGATTCTCCTATTCCTTATGAATTCGTAGTGGTAGTGGGAGACTCGCGCTAGTAGGGGCAGCGATGGTGCCGCCTTAGCCGCTGGCGTAGGATGAGCGCTGTAGCGGTCTGGTGGTGAGAGGATATCCGTGTGACGTCACTGCTTGACGGGCGGGAGGTTTCCTCGTATTGTATATCGTGATATAGGTGGTTGGCGGTATTGGTATATTAGTATTGCTGCTTACTTAGTTGACGGGAGCCGTCTATTATTGAGCCGTAAGGACGTGTGTTGGGGTCGATCTCAGTTGCATTGATGGTATGTAGGCACGTGTGTAAAGCGTTACGTACGTATTGGAATCGATCTCTGTAGTAGCATTGGTAAGCCGAATGAGCTTGGCTTCCGTTGAGCTGGAGTCGATCTCTGCAGCGTTGGTAGGCCGAGTGAGCTTGGCTTCCGTTGAGCTGGAGTCGATCTGCAGCGTTGGATGGCCGAATGAGCTTGACATACGTTGAGCTGGAGTCGATCTGTAGAATGGCGATCCGGTTTTGATGAGTGCTTGATTGAACTAGTAAGAGACGAGAGCATCAAGCGCGTCTCCTTAAATATCCTAGGACAAGCTTGCGATTCCCGTGATTACTGGATCCCTCTTGTCATGCTGATTGTTAGAATGACGTCACTAGAGTCTAGCCTTGGGGAGTTCGTCGGCCCTTGTTAGTCGGAATTGTAATGTAATATTCGAATATTTTGTGTAGTGAGGTTTCCCGATTTCGCAGAATTGTGTTTATGACTCGGAGCGCAAATGTTTCTAACTAAGCACAGGTGTTTTTACCTCTCCCACTTTGTATACCGCGTAAAATTGCTGTAATCCATAACAGTACTCTATTTGTTATTTATATTTCATATTTTTTTTGTTTACAATAAAATTAAATGTATACAAAATCAGATCAAATTAGATAATTAAATGTATAATTATTTTTTTGATGATAAAAGTATTATAAAATGATTTTTAAACTTAAATAATGCATAAGATAAATTAACTTTTAAAGAAATATTGTTTTTTCTAACTGTTCTGATCATTATTATTTTTCTCGTTTTTAAGTTATATGCCAATTAACATCATTTTGTTTAAGTTATAAATATCATGTGAAATTGATAATTCACATTTTAAAATTTTAAATATAAAATAGAATTTTAGTGTATAATAATTTTTGAAGATACATTAAATAATATCACATGTTTTGAGAGTTACTGTAACAGATTTTTTTAATTGTTTTAAAATAATAATATTACAACTTGATTTAGAAAAAAGAAGAGATTTTTAGTTGATGCTTGGAATCAATGAATGTAGTGATAGATTTATGAACAAAAAAATACCTATTGTTTCCTCAGCACAAAATCAAATGAGCTCTTTGAAGTATGTATGCATGGGTACAGGTGCATGCTTGCTGTATCAATGACACTGATTGTATATAGTATTTAAAGAAGAAAATATACTTGAAATATAGTTTTATGGTATAATTTAATTACATATTTGCAAAGCTTATAAATATAAAATATTAGGATTAACATTTATTTAATTACAAATAAAAATATTAATAAGGAATAATTTAATAGAAAATATAAGAATACCTGAAATTATGTATATTTTTTAAATATTAAATATATATTTAATAAGAAAGAAATTATTAAAAAATTGCGTTACCTGTTACCTGTTACTAATCTTGCAGCTGATAGTCGCATGACCACATTGATTTCTTTTATACAAAAAATGGTTGTTCATAATTACTGTAATGGAGCGCATTTCATTTGTGGATTTTGTATTTAATGAAATCAAACTTTTTCAAAATTAGAGTTTGACTAATAAATCTTTGAAGCAGTCAAAGATTTAAAGATTTAGTTGTAAATGCTCTACCATATCGATGCTAAAGATAATGTGATGTAATCATGAAAAAAAATACTATTTTTCTTATTTTACATTAAATGGATTAGACGAATCCATCCATTATTAAATTCGAATTTTTAATTTTTGATGGATTTCTGGTAATCAGTCTGGTATTTAATTTCTCTGTTTTACTGTTTAACAATAAAGTTGGTTTTCAAGTATGATGTATATAGATTTTCTATTTTTTAATTGAAAATACAATGTATAAAAGTTGTTAATAGTTAACAAATCTTGGTATCTGATTAACCGAAATGCTATATGAACAAAAATTAGAAGATTAATGACATTGAGTAGTTTCTTGAGTATTTTAGATCATTTTTCAAGTCCGTGCTCTTGTTTGAAACTTTTATTTAACAATTTCGGGAAGAAGAGACATGATGTTTTTGTCTACTTGGTATTCGTTTGTAATTACGGAATACTGTTCTATTGGTACATTCTTCCCAATTGTAGTATGTTAAATATATTTAATCAAAGACTTGATGAGTACGTTGAACTGAATATCTTTGACCGAAACATTGATATTTTATCTTATTTTACAATTGATCTATAAAAATGAACCTGAAAGGTAGAACATGTGATGATGTTCGATATCGTATCTACTGAATTACTATCTTCAAGTGTCTATAATTAGAGTCTTACCGAGATATATATTTATATAAGTTTTTATGACGAATTGTGTACAAAAATTGTACATAATACGAATATTGATGCATCGGTCTAAGTCAAAATCGTATGTCAATTACCTAAAACTGGAAATGATTTTATGTATGACTAGTGATTATGCGAAGTTCAGTGTTTGAAAATGTCAAATCTTGGTTGCAATATTTTACTATGTTACTGTTTGCTTTATTAAGTATAATTAAATATATATTAATAAATATAACAATAATAATATATGCATTTCATTAACAGATATTTTTATACCTTAATTCAGGTCAGTATTATCGAGCTATTTATTCTAGTCTTTGTGGTAATGTCAATCAATTATTAACTATAGCTAACTCATGGCAAGATGGTCTTTGGGCATATATGAAAACTCTTCTTGATATAAAAGTAGAAGCAGAGGTAAGAGGTTTTATGCCGAAAACTTATATAGCTTTACCCGATGAATATTGGAAAGGTGAAAATACCCTAGATGATATTTTTGATGAATTGGAAGCATCAAATAATATAGTAATTTCTGCTCAAGCTAGTGACCCAGCACACCGAATTCAAAAATATTTGATACTAGATGAAGTTGCAACTTTAATGGATGAAATAGAAAGTATAATTGATAAAAAAACATGTGATTCACAATTTCTTAGATTTTTGGCACATTTAGTATTATTTTTAAAACAAATCGGAAAGAATTTAAATAAACAAATTGCAGATAAAGTTTTACTCGAATATGTTAAAGTTCTTATAGAATTCGGTGATCCAATTCTAATTGCCTTTTATACATCTACATTACCCAAAGAGATGCAAATAACAAATTATGCTAAGTTTCTAGAAAAAATTAGTGATTATGAAGAACGTAAAAAATGCCTTAATGCAGCTGAAGATGTAAATCTAAATATAGAGGCAATTACTACATTAGTCGTTCAAAATATCCGACGAAAGGATATAGAATTATATACTCATGATTTAAAAGGAGAGTTAACAAATGCTGATTTAGAAAAAATAAATGCTTTGGATTGGTTAACATTTTATGCTAGTCAACGAGAAGAAGCATTGTGGCAAACTAATGCCTTAATAAGATATTTTTTAATGAATGAAAAATTAGATGCTGCAAGAAAAGCCTTTAATAAGGTTCATTATTATATTATTTTATATTTTAATATGTATCATAATTTTAATGTATTTATTACAATTATTGTTTATCTATAGATTTTTTGTTATTTATATTTTAGATACCAGTAGATACAATTGAAACAATAATGATGGAATTTCCTGACTTTCAAAAGACAATAGAAAATTTAATGTCAAGTATTCTGCCTAAAAGAACATCTTGTTCAATTCGTGAATACTTATGCTATAAATCATATTTATATGCACAGGAAGGATTTTCCGAATGGTTTATTCACTTCCATCATAGTAAGCCAACTCCTGTAGAAGATTTACTATCTTATGCTTCATTTACTGAAAAAGTAGCTTATGAACATAAGCATTCCCAATACAGTATTGAATTAGAACGATGGAAAACTGTAATGCAACATCATACAAAAGTAGGTTAATATTCAAAGAACTATAATAAAATATATCAAACCATTAGAGTAAAATAATTTTTACTATTCTTTATATAGTTTATGTTTCCTTTTTCGTTTTTTCTACTCAAGATAATAATATATAATACTAATCTGTAACTGTAGTCTACAAATTTAATTATTTGCTGAAACCAGTCATCTAATTACATTAAATTGACGCATTAAATCACTAATTTTGTAGTGTACAGTATCGCGAATATAGTTTTATACATTATTTGTGAAATGCATTTTTAAAAACTTCTAATTTATTGAACATCTATAAATTCGTCTATAGTCTTACTATTATTATTTTTGTTGTTTTGTGACATTATTATTGTAGTTAGATATACTTTGAGATGGTTTTCTACGTTTGCTATAATTTAAATTGAATTTAAAATGTTTATGTTGCCTACAAATATATCTGGTTAGATAAAAAGTTATAAATATGGATCTTGGCTTTAAAAATGTCATAGATATAAAAAAAAGAAAGAACAATCTATGAAGATGAGAAAATTCTAAAAATATGAATTAAAATAAACACAAAATATTAAAGTAGATCAATATTTTCTTAACGTTCAAAAACCAATTTTTAAAACCAAATGACCAAATTTTTTAAAATAGGTTATATAAGTGCACAGCAAGAATAGTTAAGAAAACATTTTTTAACATGCATTGCAGATGAAATGTATTGATAATTGCAAAGAAATTTATAAATCTTATCACAGTAACATCATGGATAAGATTGATGATAGAAGGTTAAATCATTTCATTTGCAGATATAATATTGTAAGTTAGATCGAAAGTTACTTATAGAATTGGATAGAAAGTTAGATGTAAGTTACTTAGTTATGTTATTTAGAGAGAATAGTTGACTTTGGGATCAAATGAAATGGTCAAATCATGTTAAATTCTTCACTCTTTTACTTTGAATCCTTTATTTTATTAATATTATTTTTTATCCTTTATTAATGTATCGTAACATTGACCTTCAAGTTATTTTGTACTAATTAATAAATAGCAAAACTTGAGAGTTTAAGATGCCTTATTTATAGTTATACAAGTTCTCAAAATCGTCACTATAATTCCTTTAAGTCTTCAGTTTATATGGGGTCAGTTCAGGAAAAAATGACCCATAGTGTAAGAAAGATGTTTCAGGATATTCACTAATAAATAAAAAATACTACAACAGGGCAAATTAGCCAATTAATAAATACCAAAGTAATTGAAAAAATAGCAACAGATTATTAATTCCATTTTCGATGCTGAAGAAGAAAACTTTGGATATCGTTTACTATTTTAAATATGATTTACTTGAAGAAATTTAAAATATGATAACGATTAGTAAAACCGTAGATTTATTGTATTTTTCTATTAAAAACTATTAAAGATGTTAGAAATTGGTTATATCTATTATATATTATATACCGATTAGTAAAATCGTAGATTTATTGTATTTTTTTATTAAAAACTATTAAAGATATTAGAAAATGGTTATATCAGTCTAGTAAAAAAGGAAAAAAATAGAAGGATTTGATTTTATAAGTTTAAATGTGTTTAATATTCCAGTGGCATAAAAAATTTTTAATATTTTGGATAAACTTTTATAGAGACTGCTGAAGTTTGATATATTCACAATCACGAAGAAAATAAGAGACTTGGCCTCTCAAAAATTCAACTTCCGGTGAACTAATTAATGTAATCTAGATCATAATGCGCAGACGATACAAAATAAAGAAACCACTTCATCCAACACATATAAATAAATACCTAAAATGTAGAGTAAAACAAATTCTGTGAATATAACAAAAGGAATTTTCTACATTTTGGATTATTTTCTCCATAAATTTGCAAATTTTTTAAGTTAGCGCTTTATGATTCAGAACCGAAATGATATACGGGAAAATAAAGTTATAAAACTGAAAACAGTCCAATGCTTCATGCTGGAATTCAATATAATACATGATTAAACTGGCGAATGACGTAAAGAGCAACATTATAGTAAAAAATATTAATATAATCTAAAAATTATTTCATCAAATAATGAATCAATCAAATCTGTTGTGTAGAGTACCAAGAAATTGATTAACAATCGAAAGTTATTTATAAATAATTAGGAATAATAGCACAAGTGTGTACAGATTGAAACAGTTGAAAGCGGAATTAAAAAGTGGAAGAGGTATGAGCGCGCGATTCAGTTGTTTAAAAAAACAATAGCCAACGAACCTTCCAGACCATACCCTATTGACGTCACGACCAATATCGTCATAGCAACAAACACCGGCGCTTAAGAACTAGCGTGATAATATATTGTATTATAGCAGCGCTCAGTGTCAGTCTCAGTCTAATAACAATTACGCAGTCAACACGACGGGCTCACTATTCAATCTTCTCTCTACAATCATTACTCACTGTAGCGATATACGTATGTAATACTCAAACAGTAAACAATCTAACAATACAATAGTGATGCCACATTATCAGAATCTGTTAATTAAGCTTAAACGAATAATGTGCTAGTGCTAACATAATCGAGAGTGAAATTATCGAAAGCATACTACATATATTAACGGATCACACAGACGACTAAGGCAGCAGCAAACGGTCCCCTTTAGAAAGCATCGGTGAGACAGCGGCAGCTCTTACGCACCGACACTAAAGCAGCAGCGACCCAGTCTCACTTAGCCGGTTTCGGTATGACATCGGCGGCTCTCACGCATACTACTACAACCCACTTCTCGGCAGGGAAGGAGGCACTCCTTACATCACGGAGAGTATGCACACTCTCCTCAGCAAGTAAACCAATTGAAAAACTTCCCCTATTTTATTTCCTATTTTATTAATTCACGCCTTCATTCGTATACTTTATGATCATTAACTCTTTATTATATTATTATATTTAATAAAGGAAAGACAAGAAACATTGCAAGTAGTATTGAATAATTGCATTGTCCCTTCCACTTGCCAGCAACACCTCCACCCACCATCAAAGGGAGGTTTTTTAGTCTGATCTCAGATAACAAGTAATTCGATTTTTTCCTCTTTTTAACATATGAAATACATTATTGACATATATTTAGACTGATCAATATGTATCTTTATGATTCATTCAAGTAATTCTCAAGAATCCTCTTTAAATCCACATTTACAATAATATATTTACCTACATTCAATAAATTATTGTTGGGCTCAATTGTGGACATAGCTACATCATCTTTAAATTTAATATTTCCCCCTTTAGCTGATTTAAATTCTGTATATACAATTATTAATTAAAAGTATTGTCTTTTATAATATTTTTGAAGACTATTTACGCTCGTGAAATATTTTAGTTATTGAAAATTATAATTTTTTGTTATTTGCAACAACTAATTATTTTTAATTTTATAATATTTATATTTTATTTAAAACAGATGTTTTTTAATTAAAATTTTTAATAAATAAATATTTATATTGTTGAAATAAAAAAAAATAATATTGTAAAAAATTGTAGGCAGTCAAACAGCTTTTGTTCAATGTTCTTTTATTTCCTGATGGTGGCTGGCTAGTTGATTCAATTAATGATGTTAATAATGAACTACTATCAGCAGAGGAAATGCTAAGAGATCATCAATTGGAAAAATTAAGAAAATTATGCATTCCAAAAATTGTATTACTGCTATATAATGTTATGGCTGAAATGAATAAACACAATGAATGTGTACAAATAGCAGATATTCTCATTTCAGAACAATATCAAGTATACAAAGTATGTACACGAATTTTTCTTTCGATTGAACAAGTAATTTTATTCTTTTAAATTATTAAATCAACTTATGTAAAAATAAGATTAAGTATTATTAATTTCTATTTTATATTTCGTTCACGAATATTCGATTTGTATATATAGAAATAGAACTAAAAATATTAAATATTTGTAAAGAAATGATCACTTGGTTCTTTTATGTGAAATAATTATTTTTAATAAAATTAATGTTATTTAAGGATAATTATAAAAAAATCATTTTTTGCAGGTTTATTCTAAAGAAAAATTACGTGAAATTTTTAGAAAAGTTTGTGAATCATCTCTCGTATTAATGGACCAAAAAAGAGATCCATGGGGTTATCAATGTAAATGATGTCATGATGTTTTTATCTTAATATATGTACTATTTAAAGAGAAAATTTTAGCACTGTATTATTATATATATGTTATAATGAAAAAATATTCTATTAAAAATTGAAAAATTGATTGAAAATAATTTGTAACTGAAGTTGATATTTATTGTAATGTATTATTTGAACAATGAATGTATTCATCTATTAAAGTTAATGAATAAACGTATATTTTATAATCAGTAGAGCACATTTCAAATTAAAAAAAATTATTTTAGGCACCAAATTAATGAGATTCCATAAAAATAAAAAATGTGTCTGATAATAATTTATTGTTAACACAAATACATATACAATATTAATTTATAATATATATTGATATCAACCGTGTTACGGATTGAAGCAGTTGAAAGCGGAATACAGATGTGGGAGAAATATAAGTTCCCGGACCGCTTGTTTATTAACACAAGCCAGCGAATTCGAGAAATTTTTCTATACTGAAAACTCAAATATACGGTTACAATTCCGAAAAGTAATGCCGATGATCCTTCCAAGGCTCTACCCTATTGACGTCACGACAAATATCGGTATAGCAACAGACACCGGATCGCTACCGGCGTCACTAACTACTACGAAAATATTTAATGGCAGGGCTTGACGCGCAACGCTCTGTGCTAGTAACAATTTCGCAGTCATTATAACAGGCGCACTATTCATCTTCAAGCATCTCTCTACAGTCATCACTCACTGTAGCGATACACGTACGTAATAATCTAACAATTCAATACTGAAGCCACATCAGAATCCGTTAACTAAACTTAAACTAATAACGCGCTAGTGCAAACATAATTGAGAGTGAAATTATCGAAATTATACTACTACATGTATTAACGGATCACACCGAAACTAAGGCTGCAGTGAACCGGTCTCCTTTAGAAAGCTTCAGTACGACAGCGGCGGCTCTCGCATACTACTATAGCGGCACTTCTCAGAAGGAGTCACGCCTCACATCACGGAGAGTACACACACTCTCCTCAGCAGCATTCCCCAAATTATTTGCTCACACCATCATTCATACATTTTATAACCATTAGCTATTTATTATATTATTGTATTTAATAAAGGAAAGCCAAGAAACACTGCGTAGAATTGAATAATTGTATTGCCCCTTTCACTTGCCAGTAACACCTGCACCCAACATCAATAGGAGGTTTTCAGTCTGATCCCAGACAAACCGAATAAAATTTGTCCTCAAAACTTGCATGGATATTAAAAATATCTGTTTCAACGTATATTTTTGGGGTACTTTTTTATATATTAATGAGCTAGAATGACTATAAAATTTACTTTTCAATATATGATTAGATTGGAATTTTGTTAAATGTATATTTTTTAATGATTTAAATGAACAAGTATTTATATAAACATTTGTTCAATTGAAATTAATTACTTGAAAACTTATAACTTTATAAAACTTTTCATTAAAAGAAAATACAAAATACGGTGCTTATAAAAAATTTAAATTTAATTTAATCAGTTAAAATAAATATAATAAAAATTTGAATATTTTTGTGTAATGGATTAAAATTGATTCAATTTGGTATTTATCCACTGTTTTAGAACTATAATATAATTTTTTGTTCCATGCATTTATTTACAATTCTACATAGATAATTGAAATTGTTTGAGATTCCAAGAGTCTCTGGAATATTATCCTTTCTGGGAAAACTCCAACGGTTATCATTTCGGGGAAATTTTCAATGGTTATAATTTCTAGGAAAAGCCGGTACATCCGAAATGATACAGGTGCATCACTTCAACTGTTTCTCGCACTACAGTTGCATCCATTGTTCCTAGAACCATAATCGTCTCCAATGTTGTCAGCTGACAAAGTTGTCGCGTGGATATTAAAGGCAAGCACACCACGAGACGAACTAATAGATATTCAGTTATTGACGCAGTGAGTCATGCTATTCATCCATAAGGGACTAGTGCATCAATAGGGACTTTGATTATATTTAACTATATATAATTTTAGATTTTTTATAAAAAGACTGAATACTTGCTAACTAGATTATTTTAAACAATAACTTTATGCTCTAATTGTGTTCATCTATAAATGTATGAATGAATAAGCATATTTAGATTTATATTTATTGTATTTATTTTAAAACTAATTAGATATATTTTATAGTTTGAAAATAAAATAATGCATATTGTTAAAAAAATAATTCCACAAATCTGACTTGTCAGCCAAACGTGCAAAATCAACTTAAAACAAAAAACCACTAGATGTTGTGTGGGATTGCTGGGCAAGTAAAGGGTTAATGTACGGATTCAATAACTAACACATATCTTTATTATTGCTGTTTATTCCATTGATTTCAATTATTTCCAAGTTGGAATCATTAACCATGGTGAAATTACAATTGACCTTTATATTTCTTAATAATCTTGTGGCGTTGATTTATATCTGTTTATTGGAGAACTAGAGGATATCAATTTCTTATTCTCTGCATATAACTGGTGAGATTATGATATTTTATAAAAAGAAATAGGTTATAATCTATTGAATATTATCACTTTTGAGGTTATGGTTATTTTAGTACTCTGATCGAACACTACAATATTATTGTATTTTAACTGAACACGTGTGCAGTTGCCTCTAAATAATGGGTCGTATAAGAGCCTATATAGAGGTTATGCGAAGCAGTGCGCCACCTGTGGCGGGAACAACTTATCGTTGGAGGAATTGAAAAGCCACTGTGGCGTCTATAGCTGGTCTTGTTTTTAGAGTAAGTCTGGAAAGCTTCGGTGTTCGGACCTTTATCCGTCCGTTTTCTAGGTAAAGCCGAGAGATGAAGAATCAGTACTAGCGGTAAGGACTTACCTGCAGGGTATCATGAATTTTCCGGTCTCTCTTTGTTGGCTTGATGTGAAGATAATTGCAGCTCTTAAGTTCTTTCCTTGTCTCCAAGTGAGATTACAAGTGGTCTGGTCCTATGCAATCTAGTCTTGATGAGATTCGTAGAAAGAACTTCTATTAGATCAGCTGAACGACTTGTCTCACTGGTCCTACTCCGTGAGAGTAAGTCGTGACTTATCCTTCAATTTATATGAAATGATAGAAAAGAATAAAAATGGTACATTACGTTGTCCTTTCTTAAATGGTTCACTGGTCCTGTTCCACTTAGGACTCCTTCTTCTTTTATTAATTAACCAATCAGAGGTTGATCTTGGGCAGCACAATAGATTATGTACGCCTTCATTTCTACTTCCTTTCGGGCTCAGTTCCGAATTTGCTAATTGGGAAAGTGTCGGAAAGTGGCGAGCCTTTACCATTGGTCACCTGTCCTTGGTTGCCTCATCCTTCTCTGGGACTTGGCTAGACGAAGGGTCCTCTTGGGCGTGGTCAATTTTCCAATGTGATCGACCAGATGTGGCATAGCCAAAAACAATGCAAGCATTGTCTTAAAGGCCGAGTGCGCGTGTATGGTCGTTGCAGGTTGTTGTACGTGCGGGTTTTCGGCTTGCAGTGAATTTAGTTTTGTACTCGATGCTTTACGCATATCTGATATTCGTTCTAAATTTACTTTGGGGTTCTCCCGGCAATAAACCCATTAAGTTCTACTGCACTGGGAACATGAGCATAGGCTGAAAAATAGGCTGAAATATGCCCAGTTACCGAACTGAATTGTACTATGATAATTAAGTTAAATGTTAAAATTTATTGCAAATATATACAAATTCAATTCAAAACGTTTTTCAATAGCTATAAAAAATTCAAAATTTATGAATATCACAATTAAAGTATTATTTGATAAATATTAAAAATTTATAAATTCTTTATTTCTTATTTTTACAAATCAAAAAATAAATTTAAAAACAATTTATAGTATTTCCAATTCTAAGTTAAATTTAAAATATATTATGTAATAATTTCTTTTACGCACTGATTTACATTTATCAATATTTCTTATTCCATACCTTCTAAAGCATGTTATATAAATTTTTTGTTTTATTTTAGCCAACATCAGCACGTAAAATCACTGAAGAAACTTCACTGACTTAAAATCAATCATAATTAACATTCATCTAATTCTATAGCCATTAATTATAATCATATTACTGTATTTAATAAAAGGAGAAACCAAGACACACCGTGTGTTGAATTGAATAATTGCATCTGCCATATCCATTTGCTGGGAATCACCCCTACCTAACATCATCGAGAGGCTTTTTAAGTCTGATCCCAGACCTATAATCACATGCATTTACATGTACATAATTCGAAATATATATACACATAATTGTTACATTATAATAATAATTATATATTATTAAGGAAAGATTATTAAAGGGATAAAATCTTATTGGAATGTATTAAATATTCACGTATCTATTATTAAGTAAACGGTTTTATTTTAATACAGTCATAGATTACTTAAAGAAATATACAGAATGATATTAGAAGTTAATAATTTATGTACTTTTAAAATTTATTATTAAATAATATTAAATAATAAATTCACAAAGAATTTTTCATAATTTGAGTTTCACACTTAAACAATTAAAAAGAAACGAATATGTAAAGAATGTTGTAACCAACTAATGACATTAAAATTAAGACTACTTATAAATCTCGGTTTATATTTCTTTTTTCACATTACATCTATGAACTATACAGCAATATCATGTTATGCAGAAATGTACAGAAAAAATAATATTGCAAGTGCACCATTCTTGTTCAATACAACGATTAAAAAAATTAATTCTATCTATTGCATTTATTACAATTCTCTTTTTTCTTATTATCTTTATTACTCTCTCCTTTTATATATATATATATATATATATATATATATATATATATATATATATATATATATATATATATTGATCATTAATTGTCATTATTAATAATATTATTATAAATTATTTTCGTACTATTATTGATATTAGATGAAGACCGCAAAAGAATAAGTTTTCTATCAGTATACGTACTATTATATAATACATATGTCAATATCTGAATAAATTTTAACATATTAAACAATAATTATATATTAATTAACATCTGGATAAAGAATAATCGTTGTTTTTAATATAATTAAAACTGCGTTGAATATTAAATACTATGCTATACAAAAAATAATAATTTTCTAACAAATTTTATTAATTATATTTAATTGATAAATATATATTTAAAAAATTTACAAGAAAAATATCAGAACTTTATATAATATTTATATGAATTATTGTAATTACATACTAATTATTTAATATTAAAAAATTAATTTTATTTAATTTAATTTTATTCAAAGGATAAATTCATATAATTGAAAAAAAAATTGTAAATTTAAAAATTCATAACATATTTGTATTATATAGTGAAATATGTAATAGATTTCAATTAATTGAAACATAGAAAAAATTAAATGTTGTTTAATGTTATTATTAATAATATTAATAGTATATAATATTGTATATTATAGTAATATTAAGTAAGTTATTTAAATATATTTATCTATAGAATTACACATATTTTTTTAATGAATAGAAGTTTAATATTTCAATGATTTTACTTATGTTTTCCATGTTCATCAATATATCTCATTGATTTTCTAAACATTCAAATTTTATGTCAGTATGTTTTCCTATAAATTTGCATTCAATTATTTTCTAAATTTTGAAAAAGTTAAAACATAATGAATTTGTAACAGTTCAAATACGATTTTAAAGTTTTAAAACAACACTAATCGTGCAGAATACGAAGTACATTATTTATTATTTTCTCAAGCTTAATTTTAAATTTATTTTTAATTTATTTTAAATTTATTAAAAATTATTACGACTTTTAGTTTCCACACTAATTTAATTTTTTCTAAAACTATGGCAACATTTGCGTATGCATAGATATATAAGTAATTCATCATTAATACTGGTAATTAATATATTAAATATTTTTTTTTTTTTAAGTTCAATTCATTTATGGCGGCATTATTATTGCTATATAATCCTAAAAAAGTAAAACAATTATTTGAATATTGCATATAGTTTATAATTACCTATAATTATAGTATAATTCAAATTGTAGTAAAAATATTTTCAAAATTTTAAAAAAGTCTACTCTTAATATGAAAATTATTATTTAAAAATGTAAGATTTTATATAGTTTACTACAATTATTTAACTAAAATATAGAATTTTATTATTATAAGTTATTTTATTCTTAAAATTACTCTGATAGATAATTTGTTTATAAATGTTTATAAATTAAATTTTATTTAATATTGATAAAATTTAATCTTCTAGTAAATAATTGTATGCGTATTTTACAATTTTTAAAAATGAATTTCTTTTAGATCTTCTAACATTGAAAATTAGTAGAGTAAGAATATTATCTTAAATCTGCCCGTCTCTTTTTTAAAAAAATATTTATAGACATCATTTTTAAAACAAACAATATTTTCTAGATAACTTATTGTCTTGTATTGATATTTTCTTGATGGAATTATTGTTTGAAATCAACTATATAACTTATAGTTAAATGTATATTACGGCCTTTCAGATTTTTAAACATTACATAAATTAATAAGTTATTTAACTTATTAAATTTTTATTTTATATAAATATTAAACAGGTTCAATGCCTTACTCATTGATGCATTGTGTATTAATTTATTGTTTGAAAATATTCATTCAGACAAAAAAGGAATTGTTTATAAATGAAAACAAAATATTTATTTAATGATATAATAATCATGTGTATATAATTTTAAACAAAATTGCACTATATATTTTTTTTGTTCCACTATATAGTATTTATATTTTTATTTATAAATGAAAAATTCTTTTACATTAAAGATTTTTATTAAAAAAAAATTAATTTTATATTTATAAATAGGCTTTCATAACTTTTAAAAATATCTCATAATACATGAAACGGCTTTAATTAACTGATCTTAATTAATTATTAATTATTTTTTAAAATACTGTACAAAGAGATTTTTTTAAGATTTGTATTTATTATTTAATCACCTCAATGAGTTGAATTCTGTATTTATTATTTTTATATTTATTATTTCTCTATTTATTATTGTTTTTTTCTTCAAAATATCTATAAAGAAATTTTGTAGTCTACTGTTACAAATGTTTAATTAATTTGAAAATATTTAGACAAATAATTTATAAAAATTTGTAATAATTTATTAATTGGAATTTGTTTCATATACATTAATTTTTATTATATTATTTAGTTGATAAAATATATTTATAATTTTAATTATATTTGTATTAAACTTATTTGTAGATATATGTATGACTGCTATTAAATATACTGTTGATAAATGATATAATTATAAAAATTAATGAAAATTTTACTATTTTAGTACAAATTTCTTTACATAATCATTTTTACTGATTGGTTATTAAAATTATTAATATTTTGAATTATTTTGTATATTAAAAATTAATATCTTAAAAATGCAGTTTGCACATAAACAGAATTAATATATATATAGTTCTAATATTATTGTCGATTTAAATTTTTTATTTGATTAACCAATATCTTTAGAATTATAATACCTTATACCATAAATATTTATTGAAAATTTGAATATTAATAACAAATAAAATATAGTTTATAAATATTTAAATATATACTAAATATATTTTTCAAGTATTTAATACCTACAATTAACCTAAAATTTCAAATACTATGAAATATCTAAATTTCAAACTGTTTGTAAATAGCTGTTGTATAATGTTGGATCTAAATACTTGGATTTAAGAGATATGAATAAATCTGCACTCAAGGCACATTTATACTTTCAAGTCAAATAATAGATAGTCTAGATATTGTGTAAAGAATTCATTTATTGATCTTTTATTTGACTAATGTAAGTAGTGTACTTCTGTTCGATTTAAATTGATAATGTAATATAATTGTAAGATTGCATGGAAATTTTCCTAAGCCACCATTTAATTGTAGTAGATAAAAGATAAGTATAGTATTTCATGTCTTGAAGTCTTTTTACAAATCAGACCCTTTGTTTTTTTGGTCATTAATACCATCATTCGAATTATTGTCAAACAGCATTTTATAAATTATCATTTTTATTATGTATTATAAATTTATTCATTTTTATTTCTTTTCTAAATAAAATATAGTTTCATTATTTACAATAATAGTTTTATTGTTAATGTAAATAAAACAAATATCAAGTTATTTTTCCAAATATTTTTTTATCAAATATTTATTAAGAGAAATTCAGAATATTCATTATAATTAATATACTCAATTGATTAAATTATTTATTTTATGTTTAATATAAAAGTATTTCATAATTTTATACAGAACCTCATAATTCATTTTTAAGATTTTATTTTTTTAATTTCTTCCCCATTTAAATTTTATATTTAAAAAAATATAATAAAAAATATGAATTATACTAATTAAATATCTTTTTTCTTAATACATAATTAATATGTATTATAAATATTTAATATAATTTGTGTTATATTTATAAATATAGTTATAATTGCGTGAAAATATTTTTTTTTAATATTTATTTTTATTCAGTTTTATTAACCATTTGATCGAAGATTTTTAATAAATATAGTTAATTTATACACTTTAAGATCTTATTTTTTTTCAATTATCAAGAAAATATAACAATTAAAAGTATAAAAGATGATATATATTTCGTTAATAAATAGCGTTTTTGTTTCTATTACTTTCAAATTTTCCTGTATGAAATTTTTCATTCATTGATCACATAAAAATGAATCTTATATCTTATACCTTTCTATTATTTTATTGTCAAAACGTTCTATACTAGTTTAGCTTATTGTCAAATATCATTGTATAATATTGTATATTATATGTAATCAGATGTAAGTTTTTACGGAATATTTAATCTATGAATTCTTAAAAATATTTCATCGTTTATTTGAATACGTACTTAAAACATGCTTATTGGCTAAGTACTTTCTTACAACCTTGTATCATGTGTTTTACTATTTACTTAATTGTCTAGTAATATGCATGTGCATATTGGTACACACAAAATATGTGTTGTACAGAGGGACTAATTACCAATTTCAAATGTTCATCCCTTTTCAACTATAAAACTAAGTTTATTTACTTTCTATACTTTATATTCTTTGTGACGTAATATTGACGTAATAATGACCTATTTTTATGACATATTGTATTGTTTCTTAGAAACTGCAACATTTTCTTGTTGCACTGCCTGCTATTAATTTATTTTCTATTCCTTTTCTTCTCTAATTCATCTTTCATAAGCAATATAAAAAAAAAATCAATAAAATATACAACTCTGAAGCAACAATTCGATTATTATTGGATACTGCTTGGAGGGTGTTATAACCTTGATCCACCACGTTAAACTTCCAGCCCAAATTCTTGTGCGTGAAACACTAAAAATAGACGTTATACAACTTAATCTGGAAATATTACAATGGATCAGTTGTTTGAAGCCTTAAATACAACTAATTTTTAATATTTTATCAAAAATAATTTTGCAAATAATATTTACTTTTAATTAATATATTTCATTAAATGAAATTTTTTATTTGAAACATTTCAATCAATAGATATCAATTTAATCAATAGAATACCAAATTATATTTTTAATAAACAGCAATTAAAATAACATTTTTATTAAATAATTTTTTTCAAGTGTATGTAAACTACATTAATAAGTTAATTTATTGATACCCAAATTTATTGTAAATAAATTATAGCTTAATTTTTTAAATTAATTTAATAATTCAATGGCATTCAATTTTAATTTTTTAAATATTATTTGTTGTTTTTACAATATAAATACTAATAGTTTGATTTCACATATGTAGAATAATATTAATTTATAAAAGATAATATTAATTAAAATAAGAATAGTAATAAAATAATATATTTTCAGATGTGCAAATAAATAATTAGGAATTTAAGAGTCAATAAAATAAATTAATTTAGGAATTTCTTTTGTTTATAGATTTATGTACTGATAAATTAAAAAATTTCAAATAATTATTATGCATGCCCGAAATTTTAATTAATCGTTAGTATGTTTAACATTTTTAACCTGATAATAGACAACATCAGGTGTATCATTATTAACGTGCCACACAAGTTTAGCAGGTTCACCTTCCTCGCACTCAAGTTTCAAAGTTTCAAAAAATTCTTTAAATGTCTCAGTGTTCAAGCTTTGGTCCGTGTGCTTATGACTGTATTCACAGTATCGACCAGCAGCTGTTGGATAAGGATAATTATTCTGATCATACGCCACTCCTGCATATATTTTTTGACGTTGATGCTGATCTTTAGTTAGTTCTGCAAAACCTCCTTCTGAGCTGTCCGTTATATAAAATGGATGATATCTAAACAATAGATATGTTTTGGATTTATGTATTATATATTTATTAAATACATTTTCATGCTTATGTAATAGTTTTTACTTTATTACTAGTGTATTGTAATAATCAATAAAATATTTAGAAAAGAGACAGTATTTTAGAATGTTTATGTATATGATTTATGTAGTATATTATTTATTTTATAGTATCCTTTGTCTAATTTTTTTAGTTTAATAGAACTCTTTGTAATTTTTGAAAAATATAGGTCATGTAATTTTCTTAAAAAATACTCGTTTCTTTTATCAATGATTTATTTACTCGTTAATAAATTTTTTTCACATGTAGCAATTTTCCAAAAAAAATTAATTGTATAAGAATCTTAATAATTGAAAAAGAAAATGATAGTGTAATTCAATTAATTCTGCTGTTCTAATTGTATGTACTATATATGTTTTTTTTATTATTTCATTGATTGTTATTATTACTCATACAGTTGTTTTGTAATTATAAATCTAATCAATAAAGCTATTATATATCGTTAATTGTATATCTTTATTGATTTTTTAATTTGGCATTATAGATCTTATTAATCATTACATAAGATGTATCTTCATTTATTGATTAAAAACATTTAAAATTATTTATTTACTATACTCTTGATAAAATTTAATACACCACTTATAGTCAATTAAATATAGTTAATTTCATTTTATTTTGTTTCTCTAATAATTTCTCCACAAAAACTCTTGACATTTTCAAAATTTTTTAATACATGAAATTTATATGTGCAGGAAAAACAATATAAATTCTAGGAACTGAAAATAAATCATGAATTGAAAACATTTTAATGTATTGTTTATTTTTAGGTTCAGGAATAATTAAAAAAACATTTATAAAGCATGAAATTTAATAGATTAATATAAAAATTCATTTTATATTTTATATTGATAATAATCATTTATTTTTAAAATGACATTATTTATTATTATATTTGTAAATTTAAATGATTCATTCTTAAAGAATTTTGTATTGTATAACTTAACATATTTTAAAATGATCAGTATTTTATCTCTTATCAGTGTCAAAAATTATGTTGCTCTTGAGATCGTAATTTTTAAAGTTTTTAGTTCTTGATTTGCTTTACCACAACTCTCTAACCTCTACACACTACAAAATGTAACTCAACCACCATATTTCAAAATATAATTTGTCAATATTGCGATATTAATATTGTGATCTTATATGCCCATATATTTTTGCTGCTTTAAGAATTTTTGTGTGCTAAATATTCATAAATAGTCTTAATAGTATTATAAATTTCAATAAAAGTACTTGGATCTGCATTTCCATATCAGGTAAATTATGGGTTAATGAAATTGTTGGTGAAATCTTATGATAAATAACAAATTTTAATATTTTTTTGTCACCATTATTTTTACTTTAACTGTTGATCTATTTTTCCAAAAAATACATCGCTATTAGTGCCTCTTAATAAATCAATACAATACTCAAAAATTAAATTTACTTCAAATTTGCTATATAATAATTATTATATAAATATTGAAAGTATAGTTTTCATGAATGTTTTGGCAGTCTACAATATGTAATTAAAATCACTTTTCGTATTTTTCATTATTTATTTTATTTTTACTAAATTTATGAGATTAATATTTTTATTTTATTTTGACATTGATAATTCACTTCATTAACATTCAATCAGTAGTGATCTACATCAGTTTAAATATAAATATTATTACTTTACAAAAATTCATCTGTAAAACCGGTAATTGCAATAGTATTTCTAATATATTTGTTTTGCACTTACTTCACACATATTATTCTGCTGAAATTGAGTTTTGATGGCACATACAAATTGCATGTGAATTTATTTAAATATTGTATGTGAAAATAAAAATCAATATATCAAGGAACCAATAGATAATCAAATAAATAATAAAATAAGATAGGGCTTTATTTTGTTACATTTTATTCTTTTACCACAGATAAGTTAAAATATAAAATATATAAAAGGTTTTGAGATAAATAGTCTGAATTAAATAACTTACTGTGCAGGATTTGTTTCATCTTTTCCTCCTTCTACTAAAAATGTGTAATTCTGTCCTCTTTCTACTGTGATTTCGGGTATTAACATTTCATTTATGTACCAAGCTATTCCCCAAGATGGTTGACCTGTTTTTAAAAAATTAACATTTCAATATATACAAAATAAATTAAATCAACAATTTTTTAATAATAATATCATGATAATATTATATTAATCAATATTTCTAATCAAATTTAACATTATTGTTTTAATCAAATAAAACTATAACTCAAATTAAATTTAATAATTATTTAAATTGTTCATATTATAACTAAAATAATATTTATATAATTGTAAATAATTGAGGTGATTAAGTATTTCTTTGTGCGTACAGCGCAGATATGGGAATTTATAGGAATTTTTTAAAAATGTTTATAAACTAACTTGTCATTTCTTCTTTTTTTTAACATAAGAGTTTTTAAATAGATTTCGAGAAAAGTAACAAGTTTTACTTTTATATGGCGAAAAAGATGCTTTCTTTATATTGTTTGATCCGCTTACAAATCTAAATCTTGAATTAATAGTTCAGTCTTTTTGATTATATTAATAAAATAGGTTTCTTCAAGTTTTTCTCTGAAAATTGATGTCACATTTTTTTGTGATAACATTTGCCTTTGAATATTATTAAGATATTTTTTATTTTCTTAACTATTAAAGGTTGAATAATATTGAAAAATTATTAATTATAATATTAAAAAAGTATATTATTACGTATTATACATCAGTAATTTATGATAAATAATTTATGAATTTATTTAAATTTTGTGTACTTATACAGTTGACTTTTAAATCTTATATAATAAATAATTTTAATTTCATAATTATGTAATAGTAGTTTTTGTAGTTTTTCTGTGTTCTTTGTAATTAAAATTAGCATAATTTTTTGTGAATTAAACGGTTAGGTAAATTTGAAATTTTTATAAACTTTGGTAATTTTTTCATTGTTTTTAAGAATGAGTTTAAATAACAATTGATATTATGCAAAATTTAATTAGAAACATAATGGTAAGTTTGAATTACGTTTGTCAAACGAAATATTATTTTCGTAATTTTTAATAATGTTAATGATGTGATTGCTATTTTTATATCTATTAGTACTATAAGTATTTGATAATAATTGAGATTAACTATTAAGAAAAGATTTTACATTTAAAAAGTAGTCGAACTTTTTCAGATGCGGTATTGTATGTACGAGTTCAATCGGTGTACTTTTAATATGGTCTATTATATCTTACGTCTTTTTAAAACTATATGATTTTTTAAATTTTAATACCAAAAATCCGTATTTTAATTTAAATTAAAAATTTAAATATTCAAACAAGCTGCATACCTATATTTGTATTTAACGCAAATGTAGGCCCCTATATCTATGAAGTTGGCGATCGTTATCGGTAATAAAAATGCATTGTAAAATTGAAATATACTTGTTCATATATACAAGCTGCTATTTTCACTTTTTATATTACAAATACATGGAGTATTTCGTGAATTGTTACAACGTGAATTTTTGTATTATTTTTTGTTTCGCAAATACGTTGTGGTTATGACTTACTGTACTTAGTTCCTATAATTTTATTATGATAGTTCGGCAAACAGATTAATATATAATTAGATTTTTAAAACATTTTTAATATTTCATTGTTAGCAATTATTACATCAATTTTCAATGATACCATTATGAATCGTAATTAACGAGTCACCTCGTCAATTCAATTACTGCTTTTATAAACACCGTCAATATTTTGTCATAAAAATAATAATTTAAAAAGAGTTAAAAACATATTGAATGTTACTTTCTAGGTAAATCTACAAGCTGCTATTATAATATCTGGAGAAATTAGTGATGTAATTAAATTTTTTGTTTTTTCTTTTATTAGAATCAATAGATCTTTTTAATATTAATTAAAAGAAAAACTTATTTTATTAGAACTGATTTAAATATCTCTAAATCAGAGAATGAATAGATTACAATAAGTAAAATTAATCGACAGAAAGGCATTTTTAAAAAGGCAACAATAAACGTAACTTTAAGTGGGTAGAAAATTAATTATTTAAATATTAATAAAAAATAACTTTAGAAAAAAAATTATGAAATTCAGAAATAAATAAATTATGATTATATTTAGAACACAATATTTATCTTACGAGGAAAAAATGTAAAGTGAATCTTGTTGATTATCGAACAATTATTACAACCAGTGGATTGTTTCAAACTGCGAAAAATCTTAAACGATTTCGTTATATTCTCAAGCAATGATAATTCATATTATTTATTGTCTGCAACATAAAAAGGTTCCAAATTAAAAAAATCAAATAATTGAAAATATTGTATGATGCAAATTAGAAAATACAAGCAAAATTAATTAAATTATGAAATAAAGGAGACAACCCTGAAAATTATTTCAATGTAAGAACGTAATTTAGAGACTGTACAATTAGAGGAAAAGAAAAATAATTTAATACCGAGGTGGTATTTTTATAATCAGTTACTGATCCTCCATTCAGAAATGTTTGATATAAATCCTTTTTCTGCAAAAACTTGCATTTCTTTATTATATAGTTCTAATAGCAAGTAATACTTTTCCGTTGATAGATAGAAATAGATTTATAGCTACCATATTTATCAGTGTTATTTGATTGACATTCTAGCATACAATTAAACTGGTTTTCTTATTGAAAACTAATAAATTTTCTAGAATATCCAGATACAAGAAAAAAAATTACGTTAAATTAATTAATTTATAATATTGGAATGATGATGGAATAATTAAATAAAAACATTTGTATTACAACTCAATAACACTATTTTCATTTCGTCAGGTTTTTTTCAATATTCTACATTCTCCTTTAAACCTCGCAATATAAATTTACAATATCTGTAAAAGTGAAGTATAGAAACTAACCAGTAATTCGAGAATATCCTCTTATTCCGCCAGTTTGACCAATTCTAACTGTCAATGTGTCTTCACCAACAATTTTCATAGGTGGCCAAGCCTTTACTTCGGGAATATTCGGAATATTGTAAAGTGAATTTGTACATCTATATATATCCTTGCCTCCAAAATCAATACGTATGTCGTCAGTTGTTGTATCAAAGCTGTGATGAGCGTTTGCTTCATAATTTTTATTTAGCATACCTATCGCTGCTATAATCGTTGCATCTTTTTCGGGAATCACTTTATCATAAACCAGCTCGTTTGTTCTTCGTGGTCTCTTATAAGTCACTATATAAAATATTATATCAGTTAATAAAATTTATTCTGACGGTTGTATATTATATATCTTTCTTTTGAAGAATTTTATTTATACCTGAAAACTTAAAATTTAAATAAATCGTTTATGTTCCAAAATTGATAGATCATTCTTTGTTATAATGTTAATTTCATAGGCAAATTACAAGCAAAACTTGGTATAGAGAATAACATTAGTTTTTAGAAGTACTTTCATATTTTATTTTATTTTGAAATTTAAAATAATGAATTATAAAAATTAAAAGAGAAATTCTTAGCACATATCTTTACTTACAGCTGTAAAATTCTTAAGATAATTTTGTTACATATGATGTTATATATGTATTCAAAAATATAAAAATATTATTTAAAATTTGTAAGCAATAAATTATATTTTATTTTAATTCCAATAGTATAATATTCGTATCATTTTTTATGTAACTGTTGTGTTTCATGTCGTGTTAAGTTTCAAAAAGTATTCATTTATTAATCTATAATTATTTGTTTATTATAAAAACAAAAATTTTTAAAATCAATTTTGTATAAAATGCAACTGTATAAGATAAAAATACGGTTTGAAAATATTTAAAATTTTATTTATATTAATATATATTTAGTAATAAAATATCTGTATTACAAGAAAATATTTCTTTTATATAAAACAATTTTAACTTAATCACAATTCCTTCAAGAAATCATATTTATTCTCTGTATACTTAAAAATTATGATATCAATGGGATTTTACAAGTATGTAAATTTTGAAATGCACAAAGTATTCAACAAATGTCTTTTATCTTTTATTTAAAAGCTTGGTGTTATAGAGAAAATTAATGACTTTCAAATATATTTTCAAGTGGAAGAAAAAAACAAGAAAAAAATTACCAACAAAATATTCAATTAAAAAATTAAGAATTATATAATTAAATATTGCATTTAATATGTTATAAAGGTTTTTTCTTATTATATGAAAATTATTGTATAATTATAGAACATAAAGAATTTCAAAAAATTTTCACGTGACAAATAATTGATATCGAATCAATTGAAAAATTAGAAACGTATTATATACATATATTTACATTTATAAATATATAACTGACCGGAATATAATCACCCACCTGAAGTAACTCCGTTGTTTCTTTTTCCTGCAATCAGTACAGCATCATTCTTGCCGCCAATGCGGTGATCCGGGCAAACACCTCGTTCACCATCGCATTGAATATAATCCGACATGTAATAATCCTCGGCGATGAATTGATTTTCGGCCTTGTTATAGCCAATAACGACCACGTCAGCACCAACCATTTCTGGTTTGTCTTCATATCCTGACAACCCAAATGCGACATATTGGTCATCTCGAATACGACCCGAAACGCGTATTTGCACATCATCATTCATTAATTCCCATTGAACCTGTACTCGACCATCCAGTAATTCAATACAATTGCTTAATTTTGGTGTCGATGTACTGCTTGTCTGAAATTCAAAATTTCGATTTTTAATACATTAATAGTATACATAATAGTATACATGAATACCGAAAACTATTTTTTGTTAAATGTTTTATATACACTCATATTTCTTCATCAAAATAAGTAATCTTTAAAAAACTTCAATTAAAATCATATAAATTTCAGTAAAAATAAAATGATATATATTAAAATGACCGCATTCTATTTATAATTAAGAAACAAAAATTAATATTTTCAAATTTCAAAAAATGTATAAAAAATTATGTACTCATTTGGAATAAATACTAAAGTACAACAATAGTTTTTATAATTATAGTTTGAATACCAATATTATTTTATTAATTTATATTATATTTTTTATATTCGTTTATTAATAATTTTTTTTATTTCGAGAAAGTCTTTAACAATAACAATATATAAACTATTAATACACGTATTATTTTTTATTAATTTCGAAAAATAATTAATTATAAGATGCATCAGTTTTAAAAGTAGCCAATTTTAAAAAATTAAAAAAAAATTTTTAAAAATGTGAGTTAAATTATTGTAAATTAAAACAGTGTATTTGTCTAAAAAGATATAAATATGTTACATATTAATATAAATAATACAGTTCTTATTATGAATAATCTTTTTAAGTGTATGAAGTATATATAAAATAAGCTTATAAAAAAGTTTTAATTTGAATATTAACATTAGAATACTCTTAAATATGAATATTTTATTTTTAAAATACTTAAATATATTAAACAATAAAAATTTAATATATTTTAAAGTTAAAATCTAAAAATACATTTTTATTTAAATGAATTAAAAAAAGAACATCAATTGAATATTTTTAAACGAAAATAAATAATAATAAAGCAATAGATATTGTATTACAATTTACAAGATTTGTAATAATTTATACTCACAGGGGTGTACCACCATGGCGGCTATTCCATACATATACAATCACCAAATTTGATATATTATTTTATCTGTACATAATCGTATTGATAAAAATAAATGTAAAATTACAACATATTTCATTTTAATTTATTTAAAAATATTATATTGTATAATAATATTTATTACAAGTATAATAATATTTAATATAAATGCAGGTTTTTATTTATAAAATTACATGAAAAATAAATTTATATCATTGTGAAGATAAGACGTTATAATTAGAAAAATATATTTTATTTATAGAACAATTAAATTTTAATTTTGCAATATTTGTCGCATCAAAAACTAATAGATTGATTTATACTCTAAGAAAAGTGTTTTTAATATTCTTGAATTTAATAAAAATATATTAGATATTATAACAATATATATATATATTTTAATTACATTTGTTTAAATTTATTGTTTAAAATATAATTTATTTGTATTCAACTAAATTTTTACATTTTCAGAAATTTCGACTATTTATTAATACAAGCTATAAAGTAATTTAATTTTATGTTTTTTAAAAAGGAGGAAATAAATAAAAAATTTATCGAATTCCGAGGTACTTTGAATATTTTTTTCACAAAAAATTTTTGTTTATTTTGTAAACATATATTAAAAAAATATATATATTATTAAGATAATTATAAAATAATTAAGAATTATTTTTATAATTTTAAAATATTAATGCCAATTACCTTCCTATTTTAAACTTTCTCAAATTCAGGTGTAAAGATTTATCATGTATTACTATTTAGTGTTTACATTAACAGTTATTTCTTTTTCGCAGATGTAGAAAAATTATATAAGGCCCAACACACTAATTACATTTAATCAATCACGTGTTTTATATATCTTATATTTTTAACAATAAGTCAAGTTATTATAAAACATTACCGCGATTTTAGTCTGACCAAGAGCTGGTGGCACGTCTAGATCACTGGGAATAAGTACATAGCCAAAATTGTGTCTATATTGAACGCACCAAACTGCTAACCAGTCAATGTCGAAGACTGTCAGATTTCCAGGTAATACGATTTCAATATCAACGCCTTCATAACTACGAAGAGGTAAGGAACTGCGAAGAAAATAACATATACAAAATTTATTATGTTAAAACCATAGTATACTGATTTTGCTTTTTCGTTATGTAAAATTATTACTTTTATGGTACTTCTGAGATTTATCAAAATCGGGATCTTATGTTGAATGATGTACTAATAATGTTTTAAAAATTAAATTTTTGTAATTTATTCATAATCGAAAACAATAAAATAAAAACCATAAATTTTATAAATGATTACATATTAGCAAAGAAAACTTAAAAAAATATTGAAGCTGAAACGTAATTATTTTTTTATTTCATAATATGTAGTTATCATGAACTTAATTTTAATCAATTAATTATATATTCATATATTTTAATATGTCATTAAAATTATATACCATTAAAATTTTAATTAATAAAAAATTGGATATAAGACAATGTTATAATTATAACTGATTATATTATAATAAAAAATTTTTCTGCTTAATTGCTATTTAATTAATTTTATTTATATTATTTATATTTACTCTTACTGAAATTTTATACAATTTTAAATATTCATATAAACATAGAATTTGTTTTTAATATATCCAATTTACTGCAATTAAAGTATACTATTATATTATTGAAAAATAAAATATTTAATGAATTTTAATTAAAATAATGAATATAGATATAAGAAAGTACTATGGGTTATTTTATATAAATACATTTTTTATAACTTTTAAAATAAAATTTGTATAATAGTTTTAAATTTTTGTAACTACAATCTTTATTTTTCATGAAACGATTTATATAAATTAAAAAATTTGAATTAATATTTAAATTTGCTGTTTCTGATATTTAATTCAAGATTCAGTTTTAATTTAATATTTGATACTATTTATTATCATTTTTAGATTATCCACAAATATCGAAAAAATAATAAATTTAAATAAATTTCTAAATTTATGTATTATAATTATACAAAACTTTATAATTATACAAAGTTTTATTTTGTTTTCAATTTAACTCATATATTATTTAATACACGATAGGAAAATGTACAATATTTAAATAAAGGCATCAAATGTTTAATAATGTAAAAATAATATAAAATGAAAACTAAAATTTTATGTATAAGTAAAAATATTTTTAATTTTAATATTAATTAAATTCCGTTATGAAAATTTTTAATTATGCCATTGTTGAATATAATTAATGGCAATATACAAATATAACATTAAAGACATTGGGTTTTCTTCATTACGAGTTTAATTAAATATATAAATATTATAAATGAATTTTGAAACATTTTATTAATTCATTGTAAATTGTAAAGTTCATTTAAAAATAACTCTTTTTAAAATCTATGTTCTCTTCCTTTTTTAACGAATTCTGTTAAAAAAATAAAATAAAGAGATGATATTTTATTTTAATCAATGATTGTATCTTGTTCGATAACTTATTATTTTCACAATACTAATTTTGTTGTTAATATATATGACGAATACATTTTTCAATAAAATAGTACCTGTTCATTTCATTGGGTACTTTAGTACCATACATATCCGGTTGGGTTCCTTTTCCAACCCAAAAGTAAGCATCAGGTCCTGCGCCATCATAATGTAAATTTGGAATATAAAATGTTTTGGTGTCAAGAACGGTAATATTGTCACTGCGAAGACCATGAGCTAATCGTGAAAATTCTGGCAAAAATCTTGGTGAAGGTATTCTTAAATTCTCGGGGATTATTACGTGGCCAAAGTTCAACTGAAATCATGTATAATTGTATAATTTCATAAATTATGTATTTATTAAATTATATATTATGAATTACATAACTTAGAATGTATTACTGTCTCATCCATTTTGAATTAAAAATATTATATATTTTTAAATAAATCAGGCTACACTGATATGATAATTAACACGTACTTGTTTTATTAAAATAATTTTATTTAATTCATGATTTCTATATTTTATATTATAGTATAAAATTTTAAATTAATGTTTACAATTTAATATAAGGATAAGTAATTGATATATTATTATGTATAATATTATAGATAATTTGAAATAATATTAAGCAAAATATTGAGAGCTCTATGTATCTTCATGCATATTTTAGATTTATTTCAAATTTATTATATTTAAAGTTTTATTACTTATAATTAATTACTTACTTATATCTAATATAATTAGAATTTAATTTTAAATTAATCTAAATTATAACATGAGAATTTAATACTAATGAATTTGAAACCTATACTTATTAAATAAAAAAATATGTATTTTTTTTATAATAACACTTTTTATGATTGTAAAGATCAATAAACATGATATTTATTGAAGAACTGTTTTAGAATATGGCTTAGTCAAAAGTAAGACGGCTTGCAATCTACAATCAAATCTCCAATCACTTAATTTTTCGTTCGTCATATAAGTTACTGCTGTGATATAATTATTATACTTGTATTATTATGTATCCAAATTTTGCGGTATCAAACACAAGAAGGACAGGTTCGAATGGCCTTTTTATCAAATAGATTCAACTCTGTAAGTTAATATAGCTAACAAGCTATAATTATTCATTGGTTTTCATCTACTTAAAAATAATCATTTCATTGTTATTGATTTCATCACTTCGATATATTTTACAAAAATTCTTCAAATTTAAATGCATTATTGTTTAACAGTGGTATAATTAGTTCCTGGATTTTATAATTTTTTATCTTGATCCATTAGTATAGACTGATTAGAAATTATATTTCCAAATAATGATGATTTTCGGATGTTTATTTAATTGGTTGGCTTTCTATAAAATAAATACAGCCACTAATACTGTATGAAGAAAATTAGGTTCTTTGTGATCTTGTACAAGACTAATTTCTTTTTTAGAAGAAAAAATCAATAATTTATTATTAATAAAATTCTAATAATACAATTTTATCGTTAACTCGTCATTTGTAGCAATCGAAGTTTGCTTTGTACAAATTACAGCAATTTTGATGAGTGCTTATTTTTTGTACATACATTAGCTCTTCAAATAATGAAAGAAAGAATATTTGTTGAATACAAAGTTTGGATAGTATTAGAATGGTATCGTAAATCCTTTGCCATTGTATAAATGCCGTATGAATATTAAATATTAACTATTCATATTAGATTATTCATTCATATTACAAATCAAAACAAAAACTCCTATATATTATATCTGATTATTGATTTAACGTTGTTTTGTAATCTAGTACTACAAACGTAGTACGCAGTATTAATTTAAAGTAGAATGAATTATTTCATTCAAGTAGAATGAATTATAAATGATATTATTTATATAAAATAAGACATTAACAAGAATTTCGATTATTTTGTAATGATTCTCCAAATAATTTAAGATAGAATATTTAATTAGAAAATTATATACTAATTTTAAAATTTAACAAATACAAATTGTAATAAAATGAATTAAGAAATAATTTATACAACAAAACCCATAAAATACTCTTTATACTCTATATTAAAAATTCACAAAAGAAAACTAATAATTTAATTATTTATTTTCTCTCACTCTTGATCTGTCTTCGTTTTTCGGAATGTATATTATTTAACATTAGATTTAGTGTTTTCCCTATTATTCTCAAAATCTATATATATATATATATATATATATATATATATAATATGATTTTTGATGATATACAAATTGATATATATCGACTTTTACGTAGAATAGTTTTACATGATGGATGTTTAAAAAATCCATGTTTCGATTTCGTACACTACATTTTTTCTAGTAAACTGTGTTAAATCTTTATGTAAAATCTACTCATTTTGAAGTATTTTTAAAATTAAAAATTAATTTTTACATAAAAGAGAGCATATAATTACAAAGTAGATTTTTTCTAAAATGATTTTCTAAATAGACTGTGGTAAATACAATCTGAGTTGACAAAAATTAATAAATAACAATCAATTCAATACCGCATTGTACAAAATGTATTCACCGTTCCAGCTTGTTTTACTAAGACCAGTTCGAAGGATATAAATTGATACCGTTGACAACTCCGAGACCGCGGATGTTGTGTGATGGCGATGAACGGTCACAAGTGGAAAGGATATTATAATAATTCAATATAGATATCGCTGGTATATATGATGTTTATTCTGTTATTTATCCGATTACAGAACTTGACTTGTATTACTATTATTAATTATTGAAATGATCTCTTGTGGTGGCAAACGTACACTCATCTATGCAGCGTGATGGTTTGAATATGAGCGCAGAATGGCGTGAAGTTTGATTCGTCGACACTCGCACTGTTTATGTGAGCACGTGCGTAGTTGATATTATGGTTATAATGTAGCGCGACACATGTAACCATTGTGAGTTGAAAATATACTCGGATCGTAGCTAGCGTACCTTATTTCTGATACTAGCGTACTGCAATAGTTATTCAGATGGAACTAAGAATTTGAAGGGCTTTTACCTCGTGAAAGATACTGCTACGTGTTGCGTCTGCCTTAAGCGTTGAATGGCATGCTTTATAGATTCATAAGCGTCAGACTTTGAATTAAGGTGAGGGTAAGACCGGCGAGACTCGCATCAGCTGATGCGACTTTGACGACAAGTTTGGACTTATTCTGCATTGTATCTCTGGTGAGAGCCTCTTCTTCTTTGGTTGCTTGTCGATGACTTAAACTTTGAATCTTAGATTTTAGTTGATATTATAATAGTGATACTACTTACGAAGACTAATAGTAGACTCAGTAGGGGGACTTTCCGCTTCCTTCTTGATGAGGACTGCCACTGGACACTTGTCTTCGGACTCTGATAAGAGAACTTTATGCGTCTTCTTTCCTTTAGGACTTGTGACGACAGTTGTCTTGAACTACGTTAAAGAGGACTTCCACTTCTTATTTGAATAAGGACTTTATCGAGAGTGATGAATCTGATAGTTTTCTCTCTTAAATACATTACTGATAATGGGTTTCACTTGGGATCCCTTCCCCGTTTTTGTGTCCAATTAGAGCGCGGGTTTGGACTGCATGAGTGAGCATGCACGCCCTTTTACCCCCGTTATGGATTGCAGCATTTTTAAGCGGAATAAAAGTGGGAGAGGTATGAGCGTATGAACATTTGTTTTGTAAACAAATGGTTAACGGACTCGAAGAATGCTTCTAACCGAAAAACTCGAATATACGACTATAATTCCGAAAAGTAATAACAAATGAACCCTACAAGGCTATGCCTTGTTGACATCACGACAAATATCGGCATAGCAACAGCCACCGATGCGCTATCGGCGCAGCAAGTTCGTACGAGAATATTTAAGGAGCTGCACTTGACGCTCTCGTCCTCTTACTAGTTCAATCAAGCAGTCATCAAGATCGAATCGCCATTTTAAAAGTTAACTCCACGTGCATAGAATTTATATCCAACACTTACAGAGCGACTCCAACACACGTAAGCTATGCTATTACACACGTTCTTGCGTACCATCAATTCATCTGAGATCGACTCCAACACACGTAAGCTACGCTATTAGACACGTTCTTACGGATCACCAATACACGAACCAAGTAAGCAGCATATCAAGATAACGGCATCATTGCCCAGAAGGAGTGACGTCACAGTATCGCTCCCCTCTCACCGCGCCTCAGAGGCCGCTCCAGCTTATCGGTAGCGGCAGCCGGTGGCACCAAGACCACTTCCTCAAGAGTGACGTCACCTCAACGCTCCCTTCTCACAGCGCCCCACAGGCTGCTCCAGCTTATCGGTAGTGGCAACCGGCGGCGTCAAGATTCTTTATCAGCGCATCTCCCTCCACCACTACGAATCACAACCACGAGTAGGAGAATCGCACGCACCACCAAAAATACACTCACAAGATTATTATCACTGTTGTTCGGGATTGATGTAGTCCCATGAATTTCAAACAAAAGAAAGGTCATACGCGCTGTCCGGCGTACCGTATGTGCGCCTAGACTGACCGCATGTGCGCCTAGACTGGCCCGCACGTGCGCCTAGACTGGCCCGCACGTGCGGACCGGGACGAGTACTCGAGCGAATATTTACAAACAAAACTCGAAAAGTCCTAGCCAGTTTACGACCCGAAATATAATATACTGTAAAATCACCGAAAGGTATTACTCCTACTTTTCTCTCGTCGAACATTCTCGAAGGTTCTAGATTTTTCCTTCGATGCCTCGTGTAAGAATTAGTGCAACAACGACGATGCCTTGTTGCCAGCCAAGTGAGCCGCCGCGTGCCTACATAAGGGACGCACGCAGCGCGCCTCCCTCTCTTGCTGAAAATACCTCTTGCTGAAGATACTTTTTGCTGAAGATACCTCTTGCTGAAGATAGCTCTCGCTGAGAATCATCTCTTGCCGAACCACCCTCGCTCAACTGCGAGCCATGGCACACGGGTCTCGATCTGCCCTCAGCAGGACCGCCATGGAACGGTCGGTATTTTCAGCAGAGCCGCCACGGAACGATCAAGCCTTCGGTTCGTGCGCATATTCAAAAGGCTCATTTGTAATATCACTTCGCGCTCACTCAAGCGTAACTGCCGCTCAGTGTATAGTATACTGTGAAGACGACGCGTGGCCATATAATCGGCATCATAGTTAAAAGTACTCGCGTGCATACGAATAAGAAATCGGCAGATTAGATAGCGATTACAATGAAGCCAATGGAATAGTAATCAAGGGAGACATCAACTACACAGCATCTAATACACCTAGCCTGCAGTTCACTAGGTACACCTT